TTCGCTATTTTGGGGCTTTGGGGGCCCTTACCGGCCCTCGGGACCGCCAAAAAACGATTCAGGCCGAGAAACCGGTCCCGGGGAATAGGTCGAGACCTCGGGGGGTCGACGTCATGAAAAAATCATGACGTCGGGGGTCTGGGTAGGGGGGGCAGGCCCGACCCCGTGAGAGGCCCAGGGAGCAGCGGTGTCGGCCCCCCCCCCCGGGGAGTTGCCTCGCGAGGCCGCGCGGCCGCCCGGGCCGGGCAGGGGGGCCCCGCGGGGCCCACGCCCGCGCGGGCTCCTGAAGCCGCGCTGCACGCGCCGCGGTCTCGGCAGGCCGCGCCACCGGAGGCAGGGCCTGCCCCTCCTCCCTCCTCCTCCTCCTCCTCCTCCTCCTCCTCCTCCTCCTCCTCCTCCTCCTCCTCCTCCTCCTCCTCCTCCTCCTCCTCCTCCTCTCCTCCTCCTCCTCCCTCCTCCTCCCTCCTCCTCCTCCTCCTCCTCCTCCTCCCTCCTCATCCTCCTCCTCTTCCTCCTCCTCCTCCTCCTCCTCCTCCTCCTCCTCCTCCTCTCTTCCTCCTCCTCCTCCTCCGTCGGGCCTGTCCCCCTACAGGCCGATTTTGGGCACCCCCAGAAATGCTCCCCAATGGCAAAAAGAAGACTCGAAAAATCAGAACCACCCCCAAAAATGCTCCCAATGGGGCCCTGGGACACACAGATAGATACACTTTTTTGGTCGGCGGGGCGAGAGCGAGCCTCTTCCGGTTAGAAGCTAGGCGGGCTACGCGCAGCTCTAATTGGGGAGACAGAGCACAGGCGGGCGGGGCCTCAGGCGGCCGGAGGGCGGGCCGGGGTGCAGGCGGTGCCGAGGAGCTTGCACAGGAAACGGAACGCCTTGGACAGGAGCCGGAGGCGAAGATCTGGAGGGTGAGCGGTGTGGTGTAGCCGTCAACGGCGCATCGTAAACACCATCTTCAAGTGCTGCGTGTCACAAATAACACAGATAACATATAACAGGATTCCCCATATTTTCCCATCTCTCCTGGGTCTCTGTCTCCCCCCCCACTGCCCATACTTTCCTAATTTTTCCTGGGAGTCGACGATGCATTGTGTCTGTGCGTTTCTTCCCCTCCTGATCAGCGGGACGCTCTTAGACTTCAGTCGGGCCTGTCCCCCTACAGGCCGATTTAGGGCGACAAATCAAAACTACCCCCAAAAATGCTCCCAAATGGTAAAACAACGACTCCAAAAATCGTCCCCAAATTTCTTAACTATGTTTGAATATTCCTCCTGTAGAGGGACAGCCCCCGACTCAATCTTAGACGAGTGCCTCGCCGCGCTCGCGCCGGCGGGGTCCATGCAAGGCGGCCAGCCGCCTCCGCCCGTGTTGCGGCTTGCCCCGCCCCTCTTCGGGGGGGCGCCGGGCCGGTCGCATGCCGCGGCCTCCTCGGGGCTGCCTGCTCTTCGACGGAGAGATGAGGCAAGTCGCGCCAGAGGTTCGTCTTATGTCGGGCGTGTCCCCCTATAGGGGCATATTCTCGACGAAAAATAGACAATACCCCACAAATAGTCCAAAGAGGTCAAACATATGCGAAAAATAGTCCCCAGACTTTTTTTTGTTTGTTATTTTTTTGGGTATTTTTTATTTTTCGTTGAAAATCCCCCTTTAGGGGGACAGGCCCGACTTACGGTTCGTCGCAAGTTTCGGCGCCGTCAAGGAAGACCCCAAGGTAAGAGCTGGGGCCCGGGGAGGAGGTCGAGAGCTCCGGGGGCTGACGACTCGAGAAAGTCGGGTCGTCGGAGGTCTGGGCCCTCCATTTTTGCAGGCCGTCTTCGCGCTTGGCTCTTCTGGCCAGGAAGACTGGGCAGGCTCCAGCTGCTCGCCGTCTCAGGCTCTCTTGTCCGCTCGTGCCTTGGAGGCCCTGGAGTCTGGAAAATCGAATGAGGTTATTGTGTCTATCTTGGGCAGTTGTTTGAGGTCTTGAGGAACGGCCTTGGGACATTGAAGTCTTCCGCGGCTGCCTTGGGGCCAAATAGTGATCAGCTTGGAGCCGTATCAGACCAGTGGCCTTTGTCCCATCCCGCTACCGTGCCAGGATCTTCGACCAGAGAGGCCTTTTGGAGGCTTCTTCGGGGACCTCTTGTGGGCTTCTTCGGGGACTCTTTGGGCCTCTTGTGGGGCTCTTGGGGCTTCCTGGGGGCATCTTGTTGTCCCTCTCGGGGTTCTCTGGGGCGCCTCTTGAGCTCCTCGAGGGTCGGCTTGGGACTCTTGGGAGATTCTTGCGGTGTGTTGGACGCTGCGGGGACCGAAATGACGAAAATGACTTGAGCCTCTTGGGCTGACCCACAGGGTCGCTAAGACGGCCCAGGAGGCCCAAAAGAAAGCCTCTGGACGCGTCCTTGGGACCATCGTAGGGCATGTTGGATGTGTGGATTCTGAACCGCGCTCTCTACAGAGAGGAAGACAGGGACAGACAGGCAGTCAGGCAGGCAGGAAGACAGGCAGACAGACATACAGACAGCTGCCATCGCCGCAGGGGGCGACCCGAGGATGGTCGACGTCGACAGGCGTGCGCGAGCAAGCTGGCCCTTGTAAAGAACACGACCGATCAGTGCAGGTGCAGCCGCACCTCCACGCAAAGTCCTCGAACTCCCCCTCGTGCTCTTGCCTCTTGGCGTTGGTAGGTTCACTGGCCTCACTGTTCAACGCTTGCGAACGTGACCAAGTCGTCTCCCCATGTGCGGAGCCTCTTCTTCCGAGACCTTACCGGTCTCGCTCGGCATCTCTCCACGTCGCAGCTCTTCCTGCCAGTATTTTGTGTTGCAGTTCTGCATACGTGCGAGGCCGCCAGCCTATTTTTATGTTTCCTGCAAGTGGGCCTTGAACTAACACGAAATTCCTGCGCGCACCGCTGTTTGCTCTGAGGCCAGGGCCCTTTTTCGCCCAGGTGACGTAATCCTCGTCTGGCTGTCTGGGATGAGCCACTTGTTCGCAGCAGGGCTCCCTGCGTTGCGCACAGCCGGCGCTTTCGTGGCTCATGGCCCACGCCTCCGAACACCACGGCGCGGAGATTTTCTCATCGTGGCGCCACAGCCTGGCTCCTGAAGCGCCGCTGCGCTGTTTTCCAGCGCGCGCCGCTATGTCTTCTTCCGAGAGCACTCACGGGTCTCGCGAGCCGCCGCTCGCGCGCCGCGTGCAGTGCGCTGTGCATTCCCCGGCGGCGTGCACGCTCGTACCGTACGGCCCGCGTGCGCTCGCAGGTCGGGCGGCAATTGCAGGGCCTCCGGTGAGCGGGATCTCCCCCAACGCGTCTCTAGAGGCCCTGGGGAGACGCCCGAGTCTGCTTTCCATGGGGCCCTGCCGATAAGAGAGCACCGGGGGTCCCACCGGACCCGCAGGACTCCTCGTGAGCGGGAGGCCGTGGAGCGGCACAGGAGGGGGGCAGTGCAGACATGGGAAGCTTCGCGGAGCTTGCTTGCCACACGTCTCTGGCATTCTCGCGCTTGGCAGATGCCACGCCGCTCCAGAATATCCCCATGCCATGTGCTGGTATGCGCACAGCGAGTTTGAATTCCGATCCGCGCAGATTTGAGGGCGTCTGGCTGGGGGGTTGCGACGGTGGGGTGTGGTGAGGGAGTCAGTGTTTGCGGGACGGGAAAATGACCACAGCCACTGCTTCTTGTTTGCGCCGCCTTCCAGCCGGTCAAAAAGAAGCAGTGGTTGTGGTCATTTCCCTGGTGCCAGGCTCAACGAAAATGACCACAACCACTGCTTTGTTGCTGCGGGCTGGAAGGCGGCATCAAAAGAAAAGCAGTGGCTGTGGTCGTTTTCACGCCCAGTAGTGTTGATGTGGCGTGGAATCCCATTCGGCCACCCGGGCTGGGCACAGCCCAAGACCAATGCTGGCTTTCCGGGTGGACTCGAGTTCCGCGGCCCTACGTATGTTGCAAGCAGCTCCAACACCCAGTCTGTTAATATTTGGACACAGAAAACATCGCTTGGAGCGCCCTCCAAGAAAGGATTTGGGCTTGCCTTCCCAGAAAATCTCCAAAGTCTTCAAGTTGGCCGGACGGTTGGCACATGTACTCGCGCGCAGAAAAATATGAAGGGAATGTTCAATCGAAGCGGCGGACTCATATCGCACAGGTATTATTCGAAAGCCACATCTTCGAATTTCATTAACATATTGTTCGGCGACCCGGAACCATATATATATATATATATACACATATATATATGTGGTCGAGGACATCATATTCGGATTCGTTTTTCATTTTGCGTCGTGTTGCATTGAGGTCGGACGGGTTTCTTCGGATGTGTGGCGCACTTATCTGGGGTCTCTTTCCAGTGGACCCGATCATGAGTACATCTTCGTGTTTTTTTTTTTTGAAAGCAGAATGCTCGGATCCGTCACAATCGGCTCGACAGCGAGCATAATTATTGCATGGGTCGTCGGGGACGAAGGCTGCTTTCCGTAGCCCTTCAGACGGCCCGGCTGCGGGCACATTAACAAGGCGTTTCCGTTTCTGCTTGGCTCGGCCGATCGTTCAAGGTTGAACGATCCCCGCGGTTTCAGGAACTGACGCCGAAGTCGGCACGACAAAAACCTGTTGTAAACGGTACCCGAGCAGATGGCGTCGGAAGATCGCGCCGCACGGCTGACGCATCGGCAATGCGGCGCGATTTGGGACCTGCTCGTCTGCATCCCGACGTCACCGATGCGTCGGGTGCGCGGTGTGACCTTCCAGCCCCATCCGCTCCGACCCCGCACTGCTCACAGCCTCCCCCAGCGCCCCCCCCCCACCCGGCCCGCCCCTCCATCGCTCCCCGCTCGGCCTCCGTGCGCGCCGTTGCCTGGCATCGCTCGGACGCGTGCACTTTTTCCCCTCGGCGAGGACCCCGGAGGAGCATCCTGGGCCCTCGAGCAGACAGGAGCCGCACGCACGAAGCCGAAGAGCGCACCAGGGCGAAGGGGCGCCCCCGAGCGGTGGCAGGGCCGTGTGGGGCACGCCCCGCGCAGGAGCCCGCGAGGGAGAGGGGCTCGCGCCCGCGCAGCGGGCAGCGGAGCGGCGGCACGAGGAGGAGCAGCCCGGGTCCAGCGGGCCTAGCGTCTCCGGGCCCGGGGCGGCGGCCGGGCGGGGGAGGGTCCCGGGCAGGCTTGGGGGGGAAGGTCCTCCCCGTAGGGTGCCCGGCAGTGGGGAGACGGGCTGGAAGGACGGACGGGGAGGGGAGGGGGAGGAGGAGGAGGAGGGGGAGGGGGACAAGCTAGGTGCGCTCGCGTCATATCTGACGTCCTACCCCTCCCTCCCATCCCTTACCATGGCGCTGATTTTCTCTATCCGCGGACGCGTGTCGTAGCGGACCTGTGGCTCCGCGCGCGCGTGCGTAGTGGGTGGTGGTGCACGTGCGTGCGTGCGTGCGTGTGTGCGTGGGTCGTGGTGGTGGTGGTGGTGGTGGTGGTGGTGGTGGTGGTGGTGGTGGTGGTGGTGGTGGTGGTGGTGGTGGTGGTGGTGGTGGTGGTGTGGTGGTGTGTGGTGGTGGTGGTGGTGGTGGTGCTGGGTGGTGGTGGTGGTGGTGGTGGTGGTGGTGGTGGTGGTGGTGGGGGTGGGTGGTGTGGTGGCGGGCGGATGGGCGCGCGAGAAAGAGGCCCGCGCTGGGGCGAGAACGCCATCCTGAACGACGGAGGCCAAACACCGATCCGAAAATGAGGCCCACGCTGCAGCGGGAGCACGATTCGGAACGATTCGGGAGCAGAAATGAGGCCGGCGCCTCAGCGAGAGCAGCATTTTGGGAAAAGACGCAGGCGAGAACCCGTTTCCCGGGAATCCTGTGTGTAAAAAACAGTACGCGGGGGGGGGTCGGATATCTTCGGGACGCAATCAGGGGAAGTGGGAGAGTATTTTCATATTGTGTAATTGTGGAGGAGGAGGAGGAGGAGGAGGAGGAGGAGGAGGGGAGGAGGAGGAGGAGGAGGAGGAGGAGGGAGGAGGAGGAGGAGGAGGAGGAGGAGGAAAAGGAGGAGGAGGAGGAAAAGGAGGAGGAGGAGGAGGAGGAGGAGGAGGAGGAGGAGGAGGAGGAAGGAGGAGGAGGAGGAGGAGGAGGAAGAAGAAGAAGAAGGGGTGGAGGAGGAGGAGGAGGAGGAGGAGGAGGAGGAGGAGGGGGAGGGGGAGGAGGAGGAGGAGGAGGAGGAGGCTGCTGAAGCTGCTGATGATGCCGTCCGTTTGTGTGGAGGCCCAAGGGTTTTCCTGATCGTGGAATCGGAAAAGTTAGCCAGCGTGGACCCCAAGCAGTAGGTTATTGCAGTCTATGCGGTGCAATCTATGTCCCTTGAAGTTGTCCCCTCCACTGCTCGCGGTGCAATCTATGCTCAACTTGAAGTTGTCCCCTCCACTGCTCGCGCAAACATCCCACCCACCCACCCGCAACTTGGTTTGCAAATCCCATGCGGAAGCGATTGCGATGCGTGTTTGGTGTTTGTTGGTGCATCTCTGCGGCCGCGCTAGCCCGCGCATGTTCGCGCGCGCAGCGGCCAGCTAGTTTTGCGCGACCGACGCGGACGCGGTGGCGCTGACAGCTCGGCACACCCCAGCGGGCATTTCAGTGCGAATCGGCGACTTGGGCGGGCGCGGTATCATGGCAACGTCGACAATGGTAGACACGATGATGATAGTAGCGATGCTGGTGGCGATGCTGACAGCGACGACTTGGCAGCCAGTGACGGCGCCGATGCTGATCACGCCGACGACGAAGACGGTTCTGAAAGATTCTGGAAGGAATTCGAAATGCGCGCGCGCGGCAGACGCGCGAGAGTGGCTCGCATGGAATTATTTGGCACGGATCGTGCCACCCCAGCGCGCGCGCAAGGGCGTTCGAACGATTTCGACATGCGCCCGCGCGAAGCCCGTTTGGTAGCATTTTCGAGACATGTACAAAACACTTATGGTACTCTTAAGGATTCGCAAGAGCGCGCGCACGTTTTTGTTGAACATCCGTGTTGCGAAACCATGTGTTTTTTTTGCATGTGTTTCTCGGTTTGGGAACCCTTCCGGAACCGACGGGTTTTGGATTTTCGTCATGCGCGCGACGACGCGCGCGTGTGCCTTTCGCGACGGCACGCGCGCAAGGGCGTTCGAACGATTTCGACATGCGCGCGCGCGAATCCCGTTTGGTATCATGTTATTGAGATGTCAAGCGCCTATGCGTTTCTTAAGAATTCACAAAAGCGCGCGAGCATGTTTTTTTGTTTGAAAATCCACGTTGCGAAACCCTGTGTGTTTTATGTGCTGTGTTGGACACTCGGTTTTGAAATCCGTCCGAAACGAAAAGTTTTTGAAGGATTTCGGCATGCGCGCGTGACGACGCGCGCGTGTGCACTTCGCTTCGTTTTTTGCGAGGGATGTTTGAACATGTATGATTTGTGATCAACGAGTGCGCGCGCATCATTGTTTTTTGCTGAGGGTGGCCGCGGGGGGGCGATACCGGCCCCCCTGGGAACGTGTAAATTCATTGTTCGGATGGACGATGGGGCAGAATCACTTGTAAATTGCAATACGAAAGAGGTGACCTTTAAGTCCCGGGAGGGAGGGTGGTAGAACTTATCTGGAGAAAAGGAGAATTAATTTCTGTTCGCTGTGAGTTGTCCACCCCACTGCTCGCGCAAACATCCCACCCACCCACCCGCAACTTGGTTTGCATACCTCATGCGGCGGCGATTGCGATGAGTGTTTGGCGCTGGCTGGTGCATCTTTGCGGCCGCGCCAGCCCGCGAACGCGCGCGCGCGCAATGGCCAGGTAATTTGGCGCGACCGACGAGGCCGCGGTGGTGCTGACTGCTCGGCACATCGCAGCGGGCATTTGAGTGCGAGTCGACGGCTTGGGCGGGCGCGGTATCATGGCAATGTCGACAACTGTAGACACGATGGCGATGATAGTGGCGATGCTGGTGACGACAATAGTAAACACGATGATGATGATAGAAGCGGTGACGGCGCCGATGCCGATCATGCCGACGACGATGACGGCGTCTTCGCGTCGGTGATGCGGGTTTTGGAAGGATTTCGAAATGCGCGCGCGGCAGACGCGCGAGAGTGGCTCGCGTGGTATTATTTGACACGGATCGTGCCACCCCAGCGCGCGCGCAAGGGCGTTCGAACGATTTCGACATGCGCGCGCGGAAGCCCGTTTGGTAACATTTTATCAACATGCTCGAAAGCTTGTGGGTTCCTTAAGAATCCGCAAGAGCGCGCGCACGCTTTTGTTGAACATCCGTGTTGCGAAACCATGTGTTTCTTATGTGTTGTGGACACTCGGTGTTGCAATGCTTCCGAAACCGAAGGTTTTTGAAAGATTTCTGGACGCGCGCGCAGGGCGACGCGCGCGCGTGTACTGCGCTTCAGTTTGTTGCAAAAGGTTCTCGCGACGGCACGCGCGCAAGGGCGTTCGAACGATTTCGACATGCGCGCGCGCGAAACCCGCTTGGTAGCATGTTATCGATTTGTTGAAGAACCGATGTTTTTTTAGGATTCGCAAGAGAGCGCGCATGTGTTTGTTTGAGAATCCGTGTTTCGAAACCCTGTGTGTTCAGATATTTCTTGGACACTCGATTGTGACATCCTTCCGAATCCGAAGGTTTTTGAAGGATTTCGGCACGTGCGCGCGACACCGCGCGCGTGTTCACTTCGTCACATGTTTTGCAAGGGGCCGCTTGAAAACTTCTGATTTGTGATAAACGAGTGTGCGCGCATATTTGTTGCAGAGGATGGCGGGGGGGCGATACTGGCTTACCTGGGATAGTATGAGTTCGCAGGTAGGATGGACATTTGGTCAGGATCGTATGTAAACTGATGTAAACTGCGATACGAAAGGGGTGAGTCGTTAACCCCGGGGGGGGGGTATAATTTTTTATCATAGAATCGAAAGAAAAGAGCACTCACTTTGACTGTTTTGAAGCTGTCCTCTCCACTGCTCGTGCAAACATCCCGCCCTCCCACCCGCAACTTGGTCGCAACACCTCTTCAGACCGTCACGGTAGGTACCAAAAGGCACTTGGCAACGACACGACGGCAGCGACAGCGACAACGACGACGATAACGACGCCGACGACGACGACGACTACGACGACACCGGCGACGGCGACGACGACGACGACGACGACGATTTCGACGACGACGATGACAACGACGACGCCGACGACGACGACGACGTCGACGCCGAGGCCGACGACGACGACGACGACGACGCCGACGGCGACGACGACGACGCCGACGACGACGACGACGACGACGACGCCGACGACGACGACGACGACGAAGACGACAACGACGATGACGACAACCACAATGTGTTTTAAAGGATTTCGACCTGCGCGCGCGGCGGCCGCGCGTGTGTGCCCCTCATTGTTTTTCTTACAAGGGATTGTGGCCCTGGCAGGCGCGCGACCGTTGTTGAATGAGATCGACGTGCGCGCAAAAGTTGCCCAAGAAACCCCATTTGACAGGAATGTTGAACAACCATTGGTTTTTGAAGGATTCGGCGAGATCGGGCGGGCAGTTTTTTCCAGCATTTGTGGAGGTTTTCTTGAAGCGGGATGTAGAAATTGTTGAACAAAACAATGTATTTGGACAGGTTTGGACATGCGCGCGCAGCGGCCGCGCGCGTGTGCCCCGCATTGTGTTTTTTGTACAAAAGGATTCGCGAACAAATGCTATGTTCGAACAAACAATGTCACCGTATAGTATTTTTCCCAGGGAACCGAGGGGGGAACGATACCGGCCTGGCTGGGGTATTCTGATTTCACAGGTAGGATGGACATTGGGTCAAAATCAGATGTGTTTTGCATAGGTTCCCGGGGGGTCGATCAGTCGGGGGGGGGGCGGGTGGTAGAATTTATTTTTTTGGTGCAAATGAGAACATCACTTTGCCGAATTTGAAATTGTCGACTCCACTGCTCGCGCAAACGTCCCAGCCACCCACCCACCCGCAACTTGGTTCGCAAAACCCAGGCGGAAACGATTGCGATGAGTGCTTGGCGTTGGCTGGTGCATCTCTGCGGCCGCGCTGACCCGCGCATGTTCGCGCTCGCGGCGGCCAGCTAGTTCGGCGCGACCGACGCGAACGCTGTGGCGCTGACCGCTCGGCACATCCCAGCGGGCACTGCAGTGCGAGTCGGCGACTTGGGCGGGCGCGGTATCAGGGCAACGTCGACAACGGTATACACGATGATGATAGCAGCGATGCTGGTGACGATGTTGACAGCGACGACGGGGCAGCCAGTGACGGTGCCGATAATGATAACGCCGACGACGATGACGGCGTTTTCGCGTCGGTGATGAAGGTTCTGGAAATTGTTCGACATGTGCGCGAAAGTGGCCCGCGTGGTGTTTTTGACGCGGATCGTGCCACCCCAGCACGCGCGCAAGGGCGTTCGAGCGAATCCCACATGCGCGCGCGAAGCCTATCTGGTAGCATGTTATAAAAATGCTGAAGCAGAAAACCAATGGTTTTCGTGAGAAGTCGCAATAACGCGCGCAATTTGTTTGAATATCCGTGCTGTGATCCCCTGATTTGTTGTCTGTTTTTCGGACACTCGATTTTGACATTTTTACGGAATCGTCGGTTCTCGAAGGATTGCGGCATGCGCGCGCGATGACGCGTGTGCATTTCCTCACGTGGCTTGCTAGGGACTCTTGAACATTTATGATTTTTGATAAACGAGTGCGCGCGTATGGCTTCTGTTGCAGAGGATGGCGGGGGGGGTCGATACCGGTTGGGCTGGGGTGGTATGACTTCATATTTAGGGTGGACGATGGGGTAGAATCGTATGTAAATTGCAGTACAAAAAGGGGTACCGATAATCCCGGGTGGGGGGGGGTCGAGTATTTTTTGGGGAACGGAGGACTTACGCGGTGCAACCTATGTAATCGACCCCCAAACGTACCGATGCCTCCGCAAGAGCTTGGGCCAAACAAGCGCCCAGGCTGAAAGCACGCAAACAGAACAGGTTGGAGACCATTCCTTAGCATCCGCCATATGAGAAAGGAGTGCCGCATCCATTGCGCAACACCTCATTGGTATCAGGCACCATTCGGACATTTGAGATGAATCCTTCTGGGGATAAGGAGGGTGCCGGGAGCTGTCTGTACCTAGAGCTCGCTCGCCCAGTTCCCCCCAGACGAGGTACAGGCCATGGCACCCAGATGTTTGATCTGTTCATAGCGCTGCCCCTGAGGTCCCGACCTTCTCCCCTGGGCCAGTCCTGCGCCCCAGGTCCATCCTTGCTGGCCCCGGGCCCGGCGACGGCCCCTGGACGCCGAGCTGAAGGAAACGCGTTTCGATGGAAACCGATCATGCCGTCGGAGATGTGGGAGGGAGGAGGAGGAGGAGGAGGAGGAGGGGAGGAGGAGGAGGACAATTAATAGAAAGAGGAGGAGGAGGAGGAGGAGGAGGAGGAGGAGGAGGAGGAGGGGGAGGCGCGCTCCCCCTGGGCTCTCCTCCCCTGGCCAGCAGCCCCGCTGCCGGGTGGCCAGGAGGCGGGCGGGCGGCACGTGCAGCGCCCTCTCGGAGGGCGCGGTGCCGCCGCGCGGGGCCTCATCGAAGCTCTCGGGGAGCTGTCGGGGGCCGCGCAGACTACGGAAACGCACTGTCGGCGGAGCTTTGCCGCAGGTCGAGGGGAGGCGCAGAATTCTGTCGACGCCCACCTTGGTCGGGGGCGGAAAAGAGGGGGGTGATGACTGGGGGGGGGGATATCATGCCGTGGGCCATGATATTTCCCCAGATTTCATGGCGCCTCTTCTTATTTCATTACGTCCCTGGCCCCCCCGCTGGGCCGCGCACATGCCGCCGGTCATGATTTGCACCGCCCCCTCTTGGACACCCCCCTCTTGGCCGCTCCCGACTTGGCCATGGTCCATGCAGGCCGTCGCCGATCCACGAGGATGATCCACGAATTGATGACGACACCGTCGTTTCCGTGGTTCAGTCTTGGTCATGGCCCTCTTTCTCTTTTTTCTCCAGGACGGGCGCTGCGGTCACCATCAGTTGTCGAGTGGGTGTCGCCCCCTCTAGCTTCTCGCTTCTCCCACCGCTCACTGCGAGGAGAGCGGGGCACGACAATCGGCAACACGGGACTGTCGCCGCAGCGTCAGTCGGGCGCCGGGTTGGCTCGGAGGCTTCGCGTCTCTCCCCGCTCGTTCTCGATTGCACGGCTTGTGACGGTAGTTGTGTGGTCTCGCTGGAGGTGCGTCGTCTTCGGTGCACTGTCCACCACCAGTCACCCTGTGCCCGCAACGGTTGCAGCAACGGACGGCCACGTGATCATTGATATTCCTCTGGGGTGAGGGCGACATTCGGACTGTCAAGACTGATCTCAGGCCTGACCGCGGTCCCGATCGTCCGCGCGATCAGCTGGGAGCCTCCAAGGCCCCAGGAGGAGGCGTGAGAGCGAGAGGAGGAGAAGCACCAGCAGGCGCAGAATCGTACCCCTCTGCTTGCATGGTATCAGGGCGCCCAGTACTACTTGTACCCGCGCTCGCTCGCGCACACATATCGTAAGGCGTGCACGCATGCTTTCTCACATTCCTCAGGTGGCATCCGGATTCGGACATCTGGGTTCCAGGCCCACTGAAGAATATGCTCCTGCTGGGCCGCACGCCCAGAACCCGCCATGCTTACCCAGAAGCCCTTTGGGAAGCCGCTCTTACGGCCCCAGAAGCTTCCAAGAAGACCAGAGGGCCCCAGGAAACGCACACTGTGCTCCAAGCGAGGCCCCCAGGCAGCCCAAATCAGTCCCAAAATTTGAGCCTGTTCCAGAATTCGGCTTGGGACCGTCCTCAATCTGTGCAAGAGGGCTGGTAGCCATCGCGCTGCCAGCCACAGTTCTCTGGCCTTCGCGGTCACTCAGGGCGGCCCGGTCTCGGCATTGGTCGCACCAGCATGATTGTGTTGCGCGTTGCATTTGATTCGCAGTGCATCTGCGTTGCGTACGAATCGCTTTGCATTGCACTGCGTTGGTTTGCTGTGTACTGCCGTTCTTCCTCACAGTAAGTTCCAGGAGGGATCTGAAAGGATTTCGATTGTGCGTCATTCATCCTGTGCGCCATCATTGTTGTCATCGCCACGTGGATGACCAAAAACATCGAAAGCAACAACCAATGCTTCTCTTGTCTGAGATGGCACGCAGTGGAACGCCGAATTTGCCCCAACCAGACTGTACGGGAATGAGTGTGTGGCTCGGCCTCTGTAGATGAGGTACGCCAGTGTGGCTGTTTGTCCGGGCTGACTGGGCTGTGCCGGACGAACTGGCCCCTTTTTGTGCCCGTGTCTGTGCTGGCCGAGGAGTTAATTCACGAGACCTAGTGTCTGTGTCTGTATGCGTGTGCCTACGGCACCCCCGTCTAGCTCTTCGCTGGTGCAGCCAACTCTGCCTCGCCGCCGACGGAAAAAAGTGTGTGTGTGTGTATGTGTGTGTGTGTGCCGCTTCGATTTGGGACTGACATGGCAGCATGTGTCGCGATCTAACACGCGAGCGCTTTCAGAGACCACGTTCAATTCAAGTTCAAGCTGGAGCGTGCTCATATTTACGAATCGCGCGTGGTAACTAATTTTCGCCAACATGCCACGGTATCGCTAAGCAGTTCACAACAACACTCTAGTTCACAACATCAGCTGTGTGGTACTCTGCTGCGTACTACAAAATCGTGGGTACTAGTCAACAGAGCGTGCAGTTATGGCAAGGGTGCAGTCGTCAGGTCCGCTAGCTCGTACAAACGAGCAAATCATACATTACTGAGGATTGGGAGCCAGAAGTATAAGGAACTGCGATGCACACTGTGATCTGCAGCCCGCCTTGCAGCCCAGCGCCAGGCTAGCAGGGTGTGAAGCCGGATGCGTAGTGTGCAGCTCACCACGCCGTGGACGCTGCAGCCCTGGAGCTATTCGGGTAGGCGACTGGCGGCTCTTGGCATCGCTCGGACGTCTCCATTTTTCCGTCGGCGAGGACCATCGAGGAGCATCCTTGATCATTTGGCGAAAGAGCCACGCACGAAACCGACAAAAAAACACAGGGAATGGACGTCCAAGCGATGGCGAGGGCTGCGTCCCGCAAGCATCATGTCCTCTTCGGCCCCCCTCACCAGCAGGAGGCTCATGCTGCCCCGCCCGGTGAGAAGCTAAAAAAGTTTCTGCAGGCCTTCCGGTTTCCAGGCTATTCTGCTCGCGATGGCCCCAAGAGGGCCTCCGCGAGCTCACCGACGGCCCCAGATCGGTGTACGCGCCGTCTTGGCCAAGCCGGGAGGGCGCCTGCTTGTGCCGATGCTGGGCCCCAGGCGGGGCCCGCCAGGGACTGGCGCAGGCGCATGATACCCAGACGTCGGTCGCCAGGATTTTTTGTTGAATACGGGGTCCCCGGAGCTCTGGACCACTTCTCTTGGGCGTCGCGGAAGGGGGGGCGATACTGGGGGAGGGGCCCTTCGGGGCCCATAAGGGGGCCTCTAGGGCCCAGAAAGTGCACCTTTCCTCCCTCCCCATGTATACCGCCCCCCATTAAGCGTGGCCCAGCTCCTGGGGACCAGTTTTTCGCCCTGGCCCGTTGTTCTGACGACCCCGGGTGTTTGCGAGGGCCCCCAGATGCAGAAAAGGACGAAGAGTCTTCTTGCATTTGTTTCAAAGCGGTGGAGGTCTGAGGAGGAGGAGGAGGAGGAGGAGGAGGAAGAGGAGGAGGTACTTGGCAGCGTCTTCCCAGCACTGGGCGCGCAGTCCCGCGTCCCGCCCGCGCGCCACGCAGCCGCCGCAAGGCGCACGAGGACCCGGCGAGAGGAGCGCAGCAGATCCGCGGCAAGAAGGCGTGAGGGGCTCCTCGTATCAAGTCGGGCCTGTCCCCCTTACAAGGGGATTTCCGACGAAACATACAACATACCTCCAAAATAGTCCCATTTTTTTTTTGATATTGTTTGACCTTTTTGGGATATCTTGAGTTTTTGAATTTTTCGTCGAGAATCCCCCTGTAGGGGGACACGCCAGACATAACCCTGTCGCTTCAAGGAGAGGCGGGGGCTCCGCCATCACGTCGCCCCTCGTCTCGGAGAGCGTTCTTGAATCGTCTGGGCCGTGCAGTCGGCCCAGATCAGTATTAAGTCGGGCCTGTCCCTCTACAGGGGTATTTTGGGGGTATATTTTAATTTTTCGTCCAAAATCGGCCTGTAGGGGGACAGGCCCGACTTACGATCAGTAGATCGACCCTGCCAAACCAAGGGTACCCTTGTGTCCTGTGCCTCGCGATCCACGCCTCCTGCATTCCTGCGGCAGTGTGGCCCTCGGAAGGGTCTCTCGTCCCCTCGCGTGTCCTGTCCAATGAAGGCCGACTGTAGCGCGCGCCATGCTCCCTCCCCTCCCCCTCCCTCCCCCTCCCATAACGTCACGCTCCCCTTCTCAGCGCGTTCCTAGCACTGCTGCAGTGCGTCCGGCACCACACTCTGGGAGTGTGGTGGGGGGGCGTTGCGTTCTGCCCCCCCCCCCCCCGTCCCCCCCCCACCCTCTCCCCCCCATAACGACCGCCATCGCCGCGAATGAACAAATGCGCTCTTCATATCCCTCCAGCGTTCGCCACATGAGCGACGCAAAAAAGGGAGTCGTCTGCGCCGACATTCGGGCGCAAGGTGCCCGCGCAAGGTCGCGCGTAAGCGCCCTCGTCTCCACTGTGGCGTGCCGCGCGGGCGGCCCGCGTATGCCACCGCGTGAGGTCGCTATGCCGTCTCGCGTAAGACCCGTTTTCGATCGTCGCCCACATTTTCCGCTTCCTCCTGCTCCTCCTCCTCCTCCTCCTCCTCCTCCTCCCTCCTCCTCCTCTCCTCCCTCCTCCTCCTCCCCTCCTCCTCCTCCTCCTCCTCCTCCTCCTCCTCCTCCTCCCCCCCTTTCCCTGCGAGCCTGTGCCGCCCCCACCCCCCCCCCGGCTGGAGGGCGCGGGGCAAGCAGGAGCCCGATCTTCTCCGCGCCGACGTCGCCGATGCATCGCAAGCGTCGCGGATGCATCGGCGATGCATCGGCGATGCGGCACGTTCCTCCGATCCCCATCTACTCTTATGGAAGTCGATTAATGGAGAGGAAGCATGTTGCCGAATGATTTCCAGATGTCTAACACATGTTTCAATCATGTTTTAAGTATGAAAAATCAGGTTTGAAACATGTTTAGAACATGTCTTCCGACTTCGATGATAGGACTGTTAGGGTGCGAATTGTCGTGGCATCCACGAATCTGCTCGGACCCCGTCTGGGAGGCTTCGGCTCGCCACGGTTTCCTCTTCCTCCCTCCTGAGTCCTCGGCGCCTCAGGCGTTTTGTCCCTGCGAGCATGCCTCCTCCTCTTTCTTCCTCCTCCTCCTGCTCCTCCTCCTTCTCCTCCTCTTCCCTCCTCAGCCACTTCGGCTCCATCAGGGGACTGGGCCGCCCACCTGCTGGAGTCTGGGAGCAGCACAGCATTCGAAGTGGCATTACTTTCCCGAGCCACAACATGAGCTGGGATGCACCTCCTGGGTGGTCCAATTCTGATCTTTCACTGGTCCGAAGTCCGGCTTAATCCTCCTCCTCCTCCTCCTCCTCCTCCTCCTCCTCCTCCTGTTTAATCCCGCTGAATCCCGCTTGATCCCGCTTAATCTGGCTTGACCCCGCTCAATAATCTCCGAGGCCCAGTCCGGCGCAATAGCTTCCAAATGGGGTTTAATCCTCCGTAACCTTTCCGACGGAAACCTCCCAGCAGTTGCCTCCTAACATGCGCAGCCTGCCCCCCCCCCCCCCCGGCCGGAGGCGCGAGGAGGAGGCCCGCCGCCGGGCCGAGGACCAGGCAGAGGCCAGGAGGGAGGCCCCGGGGCAGCGACAGGGGGGACAGTGAGACGCCGGTTGTTGGAAGCAGGCATTTCTGGATTCCCGGATCCCAATGTATCGACTATAGACGTAAGAGTGGCCCTTCGCCGGAGTGACTGTTGGTGCGGGCACAGAGGGGTCCCCAGATGGCTGAGAACGAAGCAGCGGCAGCTGCTTGCGCGTTTGGTCCCCCCGCGGCCCCCCAAAAGCCGCGCACCAAAGGGCACTCTTACCCAGGGTCACTCTTACGTCTAGCCGACAATCTGCTTCAAGCGCCTTCCTACTTCAAGAATCGACATGGTTTTGCTGTGTTTTGTTGTTTTCTCGGAGGGCCTGGACCCAATCCACTTTGTCCGCCTTCCTACTGTATGTTTTTTACCTACTTCTTCCGACCGACGTGTAAGACGAAGCCAGGACGAGGGCAGCTTCGGGTGAGGATAAGTCGGGAAGCTCTGAGATCCAGCAGTTCTGGAGAATGCGTCGGGCGCCGCGGCCTCCTCAGAGCGTTCCGGAACGCTCTGAGAGCGACGCGGAACGCTCTGGAGCGGATTTACCTCGTCCTAGCCCCGTCCCAGATAGGCATGGGGGGGGGATGCATCGACTCCCCAGTGCCCATTGATCGCTGATAGTCGAGCAGTGGCGAAGCGGCCTGGCTTGCCTGCAGGCCCGCCAGAGAATGTTCTGAGCACGAGGTGTTCTTAGGACATGCTGGCGGAGACTGTCCTGTTTCAATGCACAGGGCCGATGTTCTAAGAACATGCCGTGGTAGGCCTATATGAATGCCGGGATGGTTGGTCCCTGCTCAAGATAAAGGTCTGATAGCTCCACCTCCACCCCCACCCCGCCCAGGAAGGTGTGGATTTGCCATCGGGAGCCTGTCGCCGATCTATCGGCGATGTGCCGCCTTCCAGGTCGATGTTCCCCCCCCCCTGTGCCAGTGCCCCCCCATCGTTGCCCCTCAGAGGCGGAGCGGATGGAGAAGGCGAAGCAGGAGGACTGCGCGGCGTGGGGGAGCGCGGGTGCCGAGGGGGCGTCGCGCGAGGGATTCGCGGCGCGCTCCAGATGGAGTCCGTTTGCTTCGCCGTCTTCTTGTTGTATGATTCGGGGGGGCCCCTCACCCGGATGGGCGTCACGATGGCCACAACGACCCCAGAGGGCCCCAGACGACCAAGAAGTGCCGAAGTGGGTGTCTGGAGTGGCCCCGAGACAGCCCAGGAGAGGTCCAAGACGGCTCCAAGCTGGCTCAGGGGCGCTCCAAATGAGTCTACGCAGCCAGAGAGCGTTCGAAGATGCTTTCAGATGGCCTCAAGACGGCCCACGAAAGCCCAAAGGCCCTCCTGGAGGCCGCCGACAAGCCAAAACTTCAAATACCGTTGGGTAATCATTGATTTTCGCCTTCTCGCCTTTTCGCTCCCGATGGGCTGCTGAGGGTTCCAGATGGGCCCCAAGAGGCATCCAAGAGGCCCCCAAGAAGCCCTGAGAGGCCTTCAAGATACCCCACAGAGACCCCAAGCGGCTACCAGGACGCCTCCATGAGGCCCCAAGAGGCTCCCAAAAATTGCTTCAAGAGGCCCCCCAGGATACCTTCAGAGGCTCCAAGATGCCCCCCCAGATACCATAGATGCCGAGGCACCAAGAAGCCCCCAGGACGCTTCGTTTTTTTTTTGGAACAACGTTTTCAAAGGTTTCACCGTTCTGCCCTTACCGAGCTTGCTGCGCTGCCAGACGTCCCAACAAGTGCTCCGAGCGAGCCCGACAGCGCCGCGACACGGCCAACAAAAACTCAGGGCGGACCATGAGGCATCCGATGCCTTTTCTGTTCTGGCCCCAGCGCATGCCCCACCTGCCCGATCCGCGCTCCCACATCATTGCGTCACACCCGACTCGCTTCTCCCCTGCTCACGCTTACCAGCAGGACCTCGGCCCCAGGCTCACCGCAAGAGAGCCCCCCCCCGAACACTTCTTCCTCCTCCTACCCTATCCAGCTTCGCTCGTGCACGAGTCTGGTTCCGCACTTTGACGCTGCACGTGACCTTCCCGAACCTGGTTCCCAAGCCATTCCCCCTGCTCTACCCCAGAGACCTTCCACGATCTCTGCAATAGCCGCCCGTGGCCTTCCCGACCCTTACTCTCCAACCCAAGCTTCGCCTACCCAACCCTTGCCCCCACACTAACCCAGAGAACTCCCAGGGCCTCTGCAGTTCGAGTCTTGCCGTGACCTTCCCAACCCTGCCTCCCCAACCATAACTCCCACTCTACCCCGCATGCCGCACCTTCCACACCCTCTGCAGTTTGAGCTGCCCGCGACCTTTCCGACCCTGCCTCTCCAACCAATGCTCCACTCTCCAACCCGCGACTTCAGACGAACCACAGCGTAAGGTCATTGCTTTTTCACCAGGACACGCCACTGCAATAACAGTCATGTTTCGGCGTTTTGGTGGCCAGAACCAATTCGGGGCGTGCCGACATGACAACTACAACCAACGAGCCATCACACCATAGCGCACAAGTGACGCTGACGAGCAGCGCGAGCAGCACCATGCTGAATATCATGAGTACCGTGCATCAAGAAGTCGCCGAACGATTGACCAGCTAAGCTTCCAGTTCAGTCGTGCGGGCGACTACAAATATGCTTTAAATGTGAATGAGCACTGTAGCGGGGAACTGATAAGCAACTGGGGACGGAAGAGCCAGAGCCAGAGCCAGAGCCAGAACTGGGACTTCCTCACCTGGACACGTCACTACAACAATGGTAATGTTTCGGCGCATTGGTGGCCAAACCAATGCAGGGGCGTGCCGACATGTCATAACAACCGGCGAGCCAGCACAACGTCAAATAAATCACACGGTAGCACACAAATGACGCAGACGAGCAGCGCGAGGAACACCGTAATGATTTGCATGTATGCCGTACCTGGAGAAGTCGCCAAATGATCGACCAGCAAAGCGTCCAGTTCAGTCGTACGAGCGATTACAGAGATGGATGAGTGATCACATCGTAGCGGGATGTTGAGAAGCAACTGGGGATCGAAGAGCTAGAGCAGACACAGACCAGGTCGATGACCCTGTGGACAGACGCACCGCAACGTACCGCTATTGCTTCCAGGGCCAACCCAGCACCTGGCATCGCTCGGACGTGTGCATATTTTCTGTCGGCGAGGACCATCGAGGAGCATCCTTGGTCATCTGGCGAAAAAGCCACGCACGAAACCGAGAAAAGCACAGGGAATGGACGTCCAAGCGATGAGGAGGGAGGAGGAGGGAGGAGGAGGGAGGAGGAGGGAGGAGGAGGGAGGAGGAGGGAGGATGACTGCCAGCTTCCATCTGACTGGCCACCACCGTCGCACACAAGCGCGCTTTCCCCGGGCCCCCCGGGCGCGCGCTCCCGGGCGCGCGCACTTCGAGGCGTCCCGCGGGCCCCTTCGCCCGCGGCCGTCCCGACCATCGCCGACGCCAGGAGCTCGCAGGCTCAGAGCTCGACCTCGCAAGTCGCGCGCTACTGCATCGTGCCAACGCTTTGGAGCGAAGCGCAGCGAGCTTCAGGTCTTGTCTTCTCGTTAATATCATTCCTAATGCTGCGCTGTCCTTGTGGTACTATTGCTCATACGCGTGCCTCTTCCTCCTCCCCCCTGCTCAAGCCCGCTGCCGCTCTCCCTGCGGCTTGGCTGGAGCGGGAGCATGTGATGTCCGCTGGTAGGTGCTCACTTGGGCCCCTGGCTGAGCGGCCCTGCGCCACGTCTCGTGCCAGAGGCCGCGAGGCTCTCGCCCACCCGGATGCCACGAGTCCCCGAGCTGCGGGTGAAGAGCGCGCTGCCAGCTCGCCGCCCCGCGGCCCCCCGGGGACGAGCACCTGCTCCTGCACGACGCGAGGGGCTCGGGGGAGCCTCCCGGGCCCCCCCCCCTCCTTGATCAGGAGAGGAAAACACACACAGACACACTTGACCCTCGATGCCCCAGAAAATATGGGAAAAAAACATATGGGGAATCTTTTCGCACTGATGCCCCAGAAAATATGGGAAAAAATATGGGGACTATTTTTAGCTGTGTGTAATTATGTACTTGTGTGTTCTGGGCCCCCCCCCGACCTCGGGGGGCAGCGTCCGAGGGAGCGACGGGGGCTCCGGGGGCAGCGCGTGGAGCCCCGACCTCGCCCAGTCAGTCCTCGCCGAGAAGGGGCCCGGCCGCCCGCCCGCCCTCCGCCGGAGCACGCGCGCACACGCGGTGTATATGTCTGAGCACTCGAGAGGGCTTTGATTGTTCGGGGGGCCAAGATCCTAAAACGGCACGAAGATCGGGACAAAGTCGGATCGGGAGGCCTCGAAATCTCTGAGAGTCGGCGGGTTTGGAGGATGTGTTGGGCGCCGCGGCCGCTCCAGAGCGTTCCGGAACGCTCTGAGAGCGCTCCGGAACGCTCTGGAGCGATTTATCCCGATCCTAGCCCTGTTTTAGATCCTGTCATTTCTAATGGTTCTATCTTGGGCCTCCTCCTGGCCACCAGGGGGCCAGGAGCAGCTAGTGACGAGCACACGATCAGAGATGAGCACGACTAGAAATGGAACGAGGTGTATCTACCACCGGGGGCCTATCGCTGATCAGTCGGCGACGCATCGCAGATTCCAGGTCGATGTTTCCTCCCCTGCCGCCCCGCTCCCCCTCGCCTTCCTTCCCCCCCCGTCCCCCAAACGCGCCTTTCTTCCGCCGCACCGTGGCCTCCAGGCGACAAGGTTGAGCAGTTCGCACTGAAGAGCAAGGGGCCTGGAATTACAGCGGACTCAAGCAGAGTTTCGTGGGCGGGGTAAGGTTAGGACGCGCGGTTGGGAGTCTCGCGTGCCGGGGGTCGGGATGACGCGAATGCACGAAAACATTTTTCCACAGCGATCGTGCACACCGAGGATTGCCCTATACACGGTCATGTATGAAAGAGTGCCATCTGTGAGCGCGTGGAAGAGGGGGGAGAGGTTCGAACCCCTCCCCCTGGATCCCAGGTGGAAGTGGGGGGTTCGAACCCCCCCTCCCCCCTTCCCTCAGGCGACGCGGTTGCGAGGATGTCTCGAGCGGCGGCGCCGCGATTGTGAGGATGTCTCGAGCGGCGGCACCGCGGTTGTGAGGATGTCTCGAGCGGCGGCGCCGCGGTTGTGAGGATGTCTCGAGCGCCCGCGCCGCGGTTACGAGGATGTCTCGAACGACGGCGCCACGGTTGTGGGGATGTCTCGAACGACGGCGCCGCGATTGTGCGGATGTCTCGAGCGGCGCGAAAGAATGCAAATCGAGCTGCGTTTCGCCGCGGCGCGGTTGTGAGCTGTGATTCAGCCGGGTCGAAGCACAACTCGATTCTGATTTTTGCGCGCCGCTCGAGACATCCCAACAATCGAACCGGGATTGACCCGGGCCGAAACGAAACTCGATTTGCATTCCTGCGCGCCGCCCTGCCTTGGAACTCCCGGAGCAAGGCGGCGCGCAAGAAGCCGCCGCTCGAGACATCCCCACAATCGAGCCGGGATTGACCCGGGTCGAAACGCAACTCGATGTGCATTCCTGCGCGCCGCGTTGCTCCAGAACTCTCGGAGCAAGGCGGCGCGCAAGAAGCCGCTGCTCGAGACACCCCCACAACCGCGGCGCCGCGCAGCGCGCCGCCTTGATCCAGAACAAACTGTGCAAGAATGCGTCGTCGTCGTCTTCGTCGTCGTCGTCGTCGTCGTCGTCGGCTGCTGGCGGCGAGGATGTCTCGAGCGGCGGCGGCGGTTGAGAGGATGTCTCGAGAGGCGCCGCCGCGGTTGCGAGGCTGGCTCGAGCGGCGGCGACGCGACGAAGACGATGGACGACGGACGACGGACGACGACGACGGACAGCGACGACAACGACGACAGCAACGACGACGACGGACGCCAACGCCGCCGCCGACGACGACGACGATTGAGACGGGCGACGGACGACTGGACGACGGACGACGACGACAAGCGCCAGAAACGGACGACGACGACGACGGACGACAATGACGAAGGACGAAAAAGACGACTGGACGACGGACGACGACGACAAGCGACGTAAACGGACGATGACAACGATGACGACGACGACGGACGACGACGACGAGGGACGAAAACGACGACGACGACGACGCCGACGACGCCAACGACGACGACGGGGGACGACGACGACGACGGACGACCGACGACGACGACGACGACGGAAGACGACGATGACGACGACGACCACGACGACGACGGACGACGACGACGACGACGACGACGACGGACGACGACGACGATGACGACGTCGACGACGACGACGAACGCCGACGACGACGACGACGGCGACGGACGACGACGACGAACGACGGATGACGGACGACGGACGGACGGCGGACGACGACGGCGACGAACAACGACGATGACGAACGACGACGACGACGACGAAGACGACGACGACGACGACGACGACGACGGACGACGACGACCACGGACGACGACGACGACGACGACGACGACGACGACGGAGGCCCACGGCGACGACGACGACAACGACGACGACGGACGACGACGGACGACGACGACGGACGATGGACGACTGACGACGACGATGACACCGGACGACGACAGACGACGACGACGGACGACAACGACGGACGTCAACGACGGACGTCATCGACAGACGATGGCGACGGACGACGACGACGTCGACGACGACGACGCCGACGACGGACGACGACGACGGACGACGACGACGTCACCGACGACGACGGACGACGTCGACGACGACGAACGACGACGACGACGACGATGACGACGACGACGGACGGCGGCGACGACGGACGACGACGACGACGACGACGACGACGACGACGACGACGACGACGACGACGGCGGCGACGACGACGACGACGACTCCGATGACGACGGACGACGGACGATGACGACGGCGACGACGACGACGACGATTACGGGAACCCCGATCCGGGAACCCGGGAACCCAGACGCCCACCAAAATCGGACGACGGGGGACGCCGTCGGACGACGACGACGGACGACGACGACGACGACGACGACGACGGACAACGACGACGGACGTCGACGACGACGCCGACGACGGACGCCGACGACGCCGATGACACCGACGGACGACGACAACGGACGACGGACGATGGACGACGACGACGACGACGACGGCGACGACGATGACGACGGCGGACGCGAACGACGACGACGACGACAACGACGACAACGACGACGACGACGACGACGACGACGACGACTACGACGACGACGACGACGACGACGACGGCGGCTACGACGACGACGACGACGACGACGACGACGACGACGACGGTGGACGACGACGGACGATCGACGACGAACGATCGACGACGGACGACGACGACGACGACGACGACGGACAGCGACGACGACGGACGATGGACGACGGACGACAACGACGGACGACGATGGACTACGACAACGACGGACGAACGATGACGCGCGAGGACGACGACGACGACGACGGCGACGGCGACGGCGACGGCGGACGACGCCGACGACGACCACGACAACGACGACGGAAGAAGACGACGGCGACGACGACGGACAACGATGACGACGAAAATGACCAACGACGACGACGGACGACGACGACGGACGGCGGACGACGACGACGGACGACAGACATTGGGCGACGACGAAGACGACGACAACGACGACGGTGGCTGCCGACGACGACGACGACGGACGACAACGACAGAAGGCGGACGACGACGACGACGACGACTACCGACGACGACGACGGACGACGACGACGTTGGACGACCGACGACGACGCCGACGACGACGGATGCGGTCGCCGACGACGACGGCGACGACGGACGACGGACGACGACGACGGACGACGCATGACGGCGACGACGGACGAGGGACGAGGGACGACGGACGACGACGACGACGACGACGACGACAACGACGACGACGGCGGACAACGGACTACCTCGACGACGACGACGACGGACGAAGGCCGCTGGCCACGACGACGACGTCGACGACGAAGGACGACGACGGCGCCGCGATTGCCAGGATGTCTCAGGCAGGCGGCGGCGCTGCGTATATGAGGACGTTTCGAGCGGCGGCGTCGCGGTTGCGAGGACGTCTCGAGCGACGGCGCCGCGCTTGCAAGGATGTCTCGAGCGGCGGCGCCGCGGTTGTGAGGTTGTATCGAGCGCCAGCGCCGCGATCGCGGGAATGTCTCGAGCCCTGGCGCCGCGTCTGTGAGAATTTCTCGAACGGCGGCGCCGCGGTGATGTGCATGTCTCGACCGGCGGTGCCGCGGTTGTGGGGACGTCTCGGGTGGTTGCGTCTTGCGCGCCGCTTTGCTCTGGGCGTTCTGGAACAAGGCGGCGCGCAAGAATGCAACTCGAGTTGCGTTTCGCCGTGGTGCGGCGCGGTTGTGAGCCGGGATCGAGCCAGGTCGGAATGCACCTCGATTCTGATTCTTGCGCGCTGCCTTATTCTGGAACTCCGAGAGCAAGGCGGCGCGGGATAATGCAAATCGACTTGCGTTTCGCGGCGGCGCGGTTGTGAACCGGGATTGAGCCAGGTCGAAATGCACCTCGTTTTTGATTATTGCGCGTCGCCTTGCCCCGGAACTTCCGGGGCAAGGAGGCGCGCAAGAATGCAAATCGAGTCACGTTTCGCCGCTGCGCGGTTGTGAGCCATGGTTGAGCCGGGTCGAAACGCAACTCGACTATGACTCTTGTGCGCCGCCTTGCTCCAGAATTCCCGGAGCAAGGCGACGCGCCAGAATCCCGCCAGAACCACGCCAGACCCACGCCCGAACCGCGCCAGACCAGTATCCCGTTGCCGCGTGTGCGAGGATGTCTCAGGCGGCGGCGCCGTGGCAGGAGAGGGGGAGTCTGGGGGGGGACCCGGGAGGGGGGGACACCCCCGAGTTTCCGGAGCTTGCGAGATTGGGAGACACCCCCGTTCGCGCACGTGTCGGGAGATTTGTCCAAGGCAAGCGAGCTTGAAAAGCGCTCTCTCTCTCATGTATCCAGTTGTATTACCACCCGCATCCATAGTTGCGTTGTGTGTGTTGTGTTGTGTTGTGTTGTGTTGTGTTGTGTTGTGTTGTGTTGTGTTGTGTTGTGTTGTGTTGTGTTGTGTTGTGTTGTGTTGTGTTGTGTTGTGTTGTGTTGTGTTGTGCTGTGTTGTGTTGTGTTGTGTTGTGTGTGTGTGTGTGTGTGTGTGTGTGTGTGGGGGGCGATTGGGGACGGGTGCGTGTGTGCAGAGGGGGCGAGCGAGATGAGGCCACCAACAACGCCCCCACTGTGAGTTATGCTTATCGTTTCATTGTTGATTTGGGAGGGGAGAAAGAGAGAGAGAGAGAGAGAGAGATAGAGAAGAGAGACAGAGACAGAGAGACAGAGACAGAGGCAGAAAGATAGAGAGAGAGACGAACAAACAAACAATAAGACATGGGGGTGTTTGTAGCCAGATTGGGTGCCTCTTCGTCTCGATGAAGGGGGGCAGCACATGGTACTTTGCAGTTGGGCAGATAAGGGAACAAGAACCCACCCACATCAGTGGCACAAGGCGGTGGCGGAATATGTTCAAAGTTGATGCTGCGTGTCCCGGTTGCGTTCTGTATCTCATGTTTGTAGGTTTGGCCAACAGGGCAGCTCACATGAGCGGGGCCTGCCGATATTGTGTCTCATGGGCAGCAGATCTCGGCCTAGGTTGGTGACATCATTGCCACATCTGACGTTGCCCCCCAGTTGCGATAGGCGGCTTCGGCGCACTAGCTGTCAGCTCCTCTTGCTCCGTCCTGTCTGCGCTGGCCGACGCCTACTTCGGCGCACATCCGCAGCGTTTGGGCCGCCCTTGCGCCCTCCCTGCAGGGCCAGCGAGCCAGCTCCCAAGAGGATCCAAGAGGGCATCGGATCCTGGACGGTGCACGTGCAGACGGGCAGGCAGGCAGAACAGCAGACAGGTCCGCACGTCGACCCCGAAGGACGGTCCTCCAGGAGAGCAGGCACGTGAGACTTGCAGCCCCTCGCGCTGCAAGAGACACTGGGTCGTCACTGTACTCGCACGCGTGAGGGAAACATGCATCACATGCGAGTGCATCACGCATGGCTCAACAGCTTCTCTATATCATGACCAACCCTTCCCCGCGCAAAGAGAAAGGATTGGTAGGCATAAGAGGGGAGGGATGCGGGCCTGCTCTGTGTGTTGCGCCTGCTGGCCCTGTGCTACGTAATGCCTGGTTCCCCGTTCCCCCTGGGAAGATTGCTTGCCATCCAGTCTCGTGGCCCCCGCCCCAGGAAGAGAAGCAGCGGCGCGCGGCCGAGGAGGCGCTCCGCAAGGCGGGGAGCGGCGATCCGCAGACATCTAGCCTGGCCTTGTGTATTGGCATTTCGCTGGAGAGTTCGGGGGGGAGGGGGAGAGGGAGGGGGAGGGGGAGGAGGAGGAGGAGGAGGAGGAGGAGGAGGAGGAGGAGGAGGAGGAGAGAGAGGAGAGGAGGAGGAGGAGGAGGGAGGAGAGGAGGAGGAGGAGGAGGAGGAGGAGGAGGGGAGGAGGAGGAGGAGGAGGGAGGGGAGGAGGGAGGAGGAGGAGGGGGAGGGAGCCAGGGCCTGCTCGCCCGCCTCCTCGTGGCCTACCCGCCCCAGGAGGAAGAGAAGAAGGAGGCGCGCCGCCAGGCCCGCAGGGGGCACAACTGCCCGGCCAGCCTCTTGTCGTGCGACCCCATCGCTGTTCTCGCCCCCTTCCCTCCCCCACTGCCTGACTCCTTGCCTCATGCCCTTCCTCCCGATACAGGCCTTCTGTGGATTCGACTGGAGATCGATCGATCGAGAAAAAAGGACCAGTCGCCAGCTCCTCCTCTCTCTCCCTTGCCTCACCGCTCCTACCCCTCCGCTGCCGAGATGTTCATTGCTCCAGCCAGTTGTTCTAGGTTTGAGCTGGCACCGAACTCAGGTCCAATCCAGTCCCAAGTCCTACCCCTCCGTGTCCCTCACGTCTCGGTTGCAGGCTCCTCCTGTCTCCCCTCGCTGTCCTTACCTCCCTCCGTTCCCTTCACGCCTCCGCTGTGTTCGTTTTGTGTTGCCACGCCCCTTGCTCGTCTGAGCGCGCGACTGGTGGGGGATCGCTGCCGAGCTTCGGGACGGTTGGCGGTGGCCCGCCCCCGAGGGGCTGCCGCGGCCAGCCACGAAGAGAACCCGTAAGCCTGACCCCGACGTGAACAGAGCTCTACACACCCACCCTGCCACGAACCCTCGGACCCCCTTTTTCCCCAGAGAGGGCCAGCACCGCCGGGCGAACGGAAGCCATGGGCGGAGCTGGGAGGGCCCGCCCGGCTTCGAAAGCTCTGCCCTCGAGCATGTTGTGCTGCCTCCTCCCTCTCCTCTCCCTCCTTGGCCCGGCCCCCTTCCTCCTCCTCCCGCCCCCGCTCCTCCTTCCGAGACCCCCGACGTCATGATTTGTTCATGACGTCGACCCCCCGAGGTCTCGACCCATTCCCCGGGACCAGCTTTTCGTCCCGAGTCGTTTTTTGACGGCCCCGAGGGCCGGTAAGGGCCCCCAGAGGCCGAAAATCAGGAAAAACCTCCCGTCGTGATTTTCTCATGACTCGAGGGGGTCTGGTCAACCGCTGAGAAAATTTGGCCACCATTCCACTCTTCTCGTTTCGCGGCGGGGCCCCAGTACAGTGTTGTATCGGGGGACAGTTCGAAAGGGGCCCGGACGGCGACGGGGCCCGCACACAATGTTGCCAGGGAGCGTCTCATGGATTCGACAAGCGAAAGCATCTTCACGCAGTTTGAATTTTCGAACACAGGAAAGTTCGCCGTCGGTCGCACACGTGCCTTCGAAGAACCTGAAACTTTAAAAGCCAAAGGGATTGCACGAGTCGAAACAACGGTTCGCCCCCCCCCCTGGGCCCCCCGCTCTCCCATTTGGGAGGGCCTCCGGGCCACCGGCACGGGGCCCCGCGCTCGGGGGTGCACGCCCGAGCGGTGGGCTCTCGGCACCGCCCACGCGGCGGAGGTTGGGAGAGAGGAGGAGGAGGAGATGGAGGGGAAGGGGGAGGAGGAGGAGGAGGAGGGAGGAGGAGGAGGAGGAGGAGAGGAGGAGGAGGAGGAGGAGGAGGAGGAGGAGGGAGGAGGAGGAGGAGGAGATGAGGAGGAGGAGGAGGAGGAGGAGGGAGGAGGAGGAGGAGGAGAGAGGAGGAGAGAGAAGCTTGGCGGGGCGGGGGGGCAGCAGCGCAGCGGCGCGCGCCTCCCCGCCGTGCGCGGGGGCCCCGATCATAGCGCGCGGTCGACCCGCGCGAGGAGGAGGGGCACCTCTGCCCACGGGTCCCTCTGCCCCCTCCCTCCTCCCCTCTCCTCCTCCCCCTCCTCCTCCTCCTCCTCTTCCTCTCCTCCTCCCCCCTCCTCCCTCCTCCCTCTCCCTCCTCCCTCCCCCCTCCCTCCCTCCTCCTCCTCCCTCCTCCTCCCTCCTGTTTCCTCCTCCATCCTCCACCTCTTTGGATATGACGGCTTCCTGGCCTTTAGTCCACTACGTGCTCCCGCACTTGGCATCGCTCGGACGTGTGCATTTTTCCTTCGGCGAGGACAATCGAGGAGCACCCTTGATCGTTCGGCGAAAAAGCCACGCACGAAACCGAAAAAGGCACAGGGAATGGACGTCCAAGCGATGGCGAGTGGGTACCCCCTGCATCCTTGCCCCCTTCGGCCCAGCCTTGGCCACCTTCGTTCGAGGTCTTCGGGGAACAAAAAGTGACATAAACATAAAAATTCGACTGTCCGCGCGGGTTTCTCGGATCGGCGCTGGACCCCCCTCCCTGGCGCGCGGAGCGCGCCAGGGGCGGCGCCGGAGGCGCCGCCGGGGGGCCCCAGCGCCGATCCGAGAAATCCGCGCGGACCTCTGAGATTTTATGTTTATGTCGCTTTTTGTTCCCCTATGTCCGTTCATTGGAGCCCTTGGGCGGCGACATTGAAATCGGCTTTTGCTGCATTCGTACTGCACTGGGGCCGCATCTGGTTCCTCCTCCTGCTCCTCCTCGCACTTCCTGTTTCTCCTCCTCCTCCTCCTCCTCCTCCTCCGCCTCGTTCTTGTCGTCTCCCTTGTTGTGAAGGGGCGACTCTCGTCCAATTCTGGTCCAAATGTGGCCCAAATCAGGCCCAAATCGGACAGTGCCGGGGGCCATGCAGGCTCCCATGAAACGGACACCAAGCTTCCGCTGGCCGCGCCCCGCTCGACAAGTTTCGAATTGGCCTTCCCAGGCCCTTGGAATCACTATCGTGCGTTCTGGTTGTTCTCCACTCACCAAACCACCCCAACGCAACCCGAAGGCCTCAATCTGCCTTCCATTTCCAGTTGGGGGGGGGGGGGTCGGGGAACACTGAAAAAAAACACACAGAACCCGTAATTACCCCCCCCCCAACCCGAAATTCGGGTCAGACTCGGGTCTTCGGGTTGGGTTGGGGTGGTCTGGTAGGCAGTCAGTTGTACGGCTTGACTGGATACCTCTGTCCCCCCCTCCCTCCCGCTGGCAAGGGGTCCTGGAGGCGCTCCGCCGCGTTCGGCCTCCCGGGGCCCTCCCCGGGCCCCGCGGCTCTCGGAGAGCTGCTCGGAAGGAGAGAGGCTGGCCCCAGGGCAGGGCCCGGGGTCCGGCACCCGTTTCCAGGATCGGGGGTCAAGACCTCCTCCTTCTCCTCCTCCTCCTCCTCCTCCTCCTCCTCCTCCGCCCCCTCCTCCCCCTCCTCCTCCTCCTCCTCCTCCTCCTCCTCCTCCTCCTCCTCCTCCTCCTCCTACCTGAGGACACGCCCACTCGGAGCCCCGCGGCACGGTGGCGGATGCTAGGCTTCGGGAGTCCTGAGACGGGGGTCAGTGCAGACGGGGGTCAGTCAGAGCGCCGGGTCTTCAAGAATCCTGCAAAGCCAGGTCTGCATTGACCCGGGCTCGAGCGCCGGCTCCTGCAGGGCCCGATTTGCCCCAGGTTTGCATCGACCCGGGCCTGAGTGCAGGATCTTGCAGGGCCCGATTTGCCCCCAGGTTTGCATTGACCCGGGTCGGTAAGTAGGTCACCGACAGGGGAGCCCCTTTCCCTCTTGCCCATGTCGGTGATCGGAGCCACGTCCATGTTCGCTGCCGCGCACACCTGGCACATCTGGCACCGCGCATGTCCGCCGTTGGCGGGTATCCGCCGCCGCGTTCGGGGCAGCGTCGCAGCGGCGGTGTGGCAGCGCAGCGCAGATGCGCCGATGCACAGCTCTGGCAGTGCGAGTCTCTAGCCTGGAGACGCTGCACAGTCGCACGGGCGTGCGCTTCTGGACCCTGCGACTCGAGGCACCGTACCGTTTTTGGTTACCAGGCAGGATGATATATCTTCAGCGTGGCCCGCAACACGCGATGCCTCGGATCACGCTCGCAGCTCTGAAAACGGAGCGCGTCGTGTACGGCGTGGCAGCGCCATTCGGAATCCGATGCCTTGGTTGGGTGGCCTTGCAGAAGCTTCACACCCCCGATCCTCAGCATCCACTGGAGGAGGAGAAGGGGGAGGAGTAGGAGACGGAGGAGGCGGAGGAGGAGGAGGAGGAGGAGGAGGAGGAGGAGGAGGCCCAGGAAGAGGGGGAGGAGGAGGAGGAGGAGGAGGAGGAGGAGGAGGCGGAGAAGGCGGAGGAGGAGGAGGAGGAGGAGGCGGAGGAGGCGGAGGAGGAGGAGGAGTATGAGGAGGAGGCGGAGGAGGAGGAGGAGGAGGAGGAGGCGCAGGAGGTGCAGAGGGTGGAGGAGCTGCAGGCCGAGGGCGCGCCCCCCTCGGAGGAGCTCCCCCGCGGCGCTTGCACGCGTTCCCTGCACATCACCCGGTTTTGCGTCTCGGTTTCTCGCTCGGTCGCTGCCCCTCCGCCGTCGTGGCTTTCCTCGCTCGTTCGTGCGTTGGTTCGCTCGCCCTCGTTCGTTCGCTCGCCGTCGTGTCCGCTGGCCCTCGCTCGTTTGCCTCTTTCGGGCCCTCGTTCGGTCCTGTTGCTGCCTGGGAGTCTGCGCTTGACTCTAACCCACGTCCAAAAACAAAACCCTGCACATGCCCGGAGGACCGAAAACCTCCCAGACGGAGGTCCGACCTTCAGTCCCCAGATGAGGAGAAGGTGCCAGTACTGCTACCCTTCCCTCGTTTGCGCCGTCTCGAACCTCCTGAGAGGCCCTCGTCGCCACGGCTGGACTCACCTCGAAATTCTGGTCAGAACGCACCCCCAGAGAGGTCCGGGGAGTAACGGTATCGGTATTTTTTGGTTCTCCAAGTTTTGGTGGCTTGTTCCATCCGTTCGTGATATGTGTTCCTCCAGAGTGGAGGCCCGACATCCGAAACTGAGGTGTTCGATCCTTGGGGTCGGTACAGCCCGAGGCGGAGAGGCGGCCCAAGAAGCAGCAGGAGAGGCGGCGCGGGGCCGAGATCGACAAGGCTGCGGATGGCAGCCCTCGGGATGAGGGCTCACTCCCTCCTTACCTTGAGACATGATCCGGTAGAGGGAAACAATTAGTGAACACCCCCCTTGCCCCCCCAAACTCAAGGTTGGCACGCGCGGGGGAGACTGCGGTCGAGGTGCAACTCATCAGACCCACCGCCAACTTTGAACACTGGGGGGAGGGGGAGGCGTTCACAGATGAATGTGGCATGCGTGTTCGCTATTTTTCTCCGAGGCCTGTCTGTCGAAGACAGATGTGGCCAGCGGTTTCCTTTCGCTCTCCGAGCGTTCTCGCCCGGCTGCGGGCCCCTGGGCCAGCACAGGTCGATCCGGCGCGGAGGATACCACGGCACGATGGAATCAAGAGCCGGGGTCGTTTTTTTTTTCGAGATGTTGTGATGATGTTCCGCATTGTCGAATCTCAGGGGTGGAAGTCTGCACTTGCTGGAGCGTGCTTCTTTATTGCTTGGGCCATAGTGCGCGCTGTGGCCCTCCCGCCGCCCCCCCCCATAACGTAGCGCTCTGGCCCCCACTGCGCTCCCAGCTCTGCCGCCGTGCGCATAGGGATCCGCATAGGAACCCGAGTAGGGATCCGCATAGGCATCCGCACAGAAATCCGCATAGGGATTCGCATGGGGATCGCATAGAGATATCCATCGGAATCCGCATAGGAGAGAGACTCGAGAGCAATACGAGGAGAAGGAGGACGACGACAACGACGACGACGATGGAGGAGGGAGGTAAGGAGCATAATATCTCTTATACGCCACGTGGAGGCAAACAAAGCCTTCGTAAGCATGTGCTCGCCACAACTCCTCGTCGCTCTTCGCTGTCGGGTCGTCGTCGTCGTCGTCATCTCCGTCGTCGCCGTCGTCGTCGTCGTCGCTCGTCGTCGTCGTCGCTCTTCGTTGTCGTCGTCGTCGCTTGTCGTAGTCGTAGTCGTCGTCGTCGTCGTCGTCGTCGTCGTCGTCGTCGTCGTCGTCGTCGTCGTCGTCGTCGTCGTCCTCGTCGTCGTCCTCGTCCTCGTCCTCGTCCTCGTCGCTCGTCGCTCGTCGCTCGTCGCTCATTGCTCATTGCTCGTCGTCGTCGTCGTCGTCGTCGTCATCTTCGTCGTCTTGGTTGCCGTCGGTCGTCATCGCTCGCGGTCGCTGATCGTTGTTAAACGCCTTCGAATGCTTTCGAGGGCCTCTGGAGGCCTCTCCGGAAAGCCTCGGGAGGCTTCCAGAGGCCTCGGGCAACTTCCGGAGCCGTCGTCGTCGTCGTCGTCGTCGTCGTCGTCGTCGTCGTCCTCGTCCTCGTCCTCGTCCTCGTCCTCGTCGTCGTCGTCGCTTGTCGTAGTCGTCGTCGTCGTCGTCGTCGTCGTCGTCGTCGTCGTCGTCGTCGTCGTCGTCGTCGTCGTCGTCGTATTCGTCGTCGTCGTCGTCGTCGTCGTCGTCGTCGTGGTTGTGCTCGTCGTCGCTTGTCGTCGTCGTCGTTGTGCTCGTCGTCGCTTGTCGTCGTCGTCGTCTTCGCCGCCGACGTCATCGTTCGTCTTCGTCGTGCGCGCGGACGCTGTGGTGGCGCCGGAGCCGCGCGGCGGGGGGGGAGGCGTGACCTGATGTCCCCCTCCTTGCCCCCTGGCCCCCCCAAAACGCCCGCGATCGCCGCGAGAAGAGGAAACGCGCTCCCGCGAAAGATGAAGATCATGCACCCCGGGCGCGGGGCCGGGGAGGACGCTGCCAGGCGTCCGAGGAGGGGGAGCTTCTTTCAGGCCGTCCGCCCGCACTCCCCCCTCCTCCCCCCTTCCTTCGGCACAGGGGGGTGTCCAGGGATGCCAGGAGGAGGGCGGAATGGCAAGTGGTGCTGCCGCCTCAGCCTGGTATCGCTCGGGCGCGCGCCGTTTTTCTCGGCGGGGATTATCAAGGAGCATCCTGGATCCTCCTACGAAAGAGCCGCGCACGAAACCGAAAAGAGCACAGGGAGGGGACGTCCGAGCGGCGGGGAGGTCAGGGCCACGGCCTCTTGGAGGCCACCAGGGGCCCCCGTGGAGGCATCCCGGAGCCTGGGCGCGAGCCAGAAGCGCTCGAGGCACCGTGCCCTGCGACCCTCGAAGGTCGAGGGGGCAAGACGGCAAGGGCAGAGGAGGAGGAGGAGGAGGAGGAGGAGGAGGAGGAGGAGGAGGAGGAGGAGGAGGAGGAGGAGGAGGAGGAGGAGGGGGGGGAGAGGCAGGCAGAGGGAGAGGGAGAGAGGCGCCAGGGTCGGGGCTGCCACTGGGGCGGGTGCGGTTGACGCGGGAAGCCGCCCGAGGCCTTTCGGCGGGGGGGGCGGGGGGAGCGGGTGCCGCCCACATGTTCAGCCCGTCTTGCCAGTTACCTCTGTCTCTCTCTCTCTGTCTTTCTCTGTGTCTCGGTCTCGTGGTGCACATGTTCGCCTGCGCTGTTGCACCTGCACTGCTGCCGTGGTAAAAAAATGTTCGCCTTGCCACTCCCGGCTTGCTGCCAGTGTAAGCGTGTGCTCTGGCACACCCGCAACGCAGCTGTTCGCAGCTATAATGTCGCATGCTCTTCTTCACCCGTCGCCTGCCCCGCTCTCCTCCTCCGCCCCATCCTTTAGCCACCATCCGGGGAATGGGTTCATTCAAACACAGTGTCCTCACATCATTTTCCCTCCTCGTTAAGCACCGCTGCCCGAGTACCCCACGCAGGTGGTCTCATCGTCAATCGTGGCTTCCATCGGCCTTTGATGGTGCTCGCTGATCTATATTTGCTTTAGTTGTCTTCACATGCTGGTGAATGGCTCCTCGCCGATATCATTCCCTATCGGCGCATGGCGCTCTCCATCGTCCGCGCAGATCCACGAGTTTCCATTTATCTCTTTTGACATTTCAGCAATGAGTGGTGACTGATCTCTCAATCGCTTATTCGGATTACCGTGCCTGGTCACTCGAAGCAGGTCGGCGTTTGTCTCGGGGGTGGACAGAACCACCACCCTGACACGTCGATTAGTGAATTGTCCGTTTTCGGTTCTGGAGAGGGCGCCGCGGCGGTCATTTTCCAGGCTTGCGCCCGCCAGGTTTGGGCCCGAGGTCGTTTTCATTCAACCACGTTTTGCTACAGGGGGGTTCTGTCCATCCCCGATTGTCTTCGGCAGGCTCGTCTCAGCCCATCAGCTTCATGGCAGCACGGAGCTAAGAGCGGGTCTACGCCCGACCTTTGTCTTTCTGCGCATGCCGTGCCGACAAGGCAAAGCAAGACTTAGACAGAGAGCTGGCCGCGATAAAGGCTCGAAACGAAAAGCACAAGGCCGAGCAGGCCAGACCGGACCGGCCGAATCGGAGGTCTGTTTTTTTCTCCTGCTGCTCATCCTCTCGACTGGACGTAATAGTGACCTTTCGCCGATATGACCTTTGTTCTTGCGGGCCCAAAGGGTGTCCTCCGATCGCCGAATGCGATGCGGCAGTAGTCCCCCCGCGGCCCCCGCAAAGCCGCGCACCAAAGGTCCTCCTTTTACCCAGGGCCACTCTTGCGTGTGGCCGACCCTCCTCCCTGGCCGCGCAGCTCCTCCTCCCCGGACGAGCCCCGACGTGATCTGCACAGCCCGCGGCCCCAGGGCCCCCGACGCTTTCCCCATGGGCAGTTTTGCTCGCCGCGTCCGCTCTCGATGGCCCCCGGGGCCCGAAAACGAGCAGCAACATCTCTCGGATCCCCGACGGCACGTAGGAGTGACCTCTCGCCCGCGTAACCTTACGAGTGCGGGCGCGCCGGGGGCCCCCGGTGGCGAAGCGCGAGGTGGTGGCAGCGGCTCGCGCGCTCGGGGTTTGGCCTTCCCCCGCGTCCCCCGAGAAGTCGCGCCACAGAGGTGGCTCTTGCGTGTAGTCGAGATTCGGTGGCAGTACTGGCATCCAGCCTACCGCCATTCTTTTCCACTCGCCGGCCCGCCGCCGAGGTGCTGCGTGAGGCCCGGGCCCACCGCTTTAGGTTTAATTCGTGTTTGCACGCCCCGCTCTGACTGGACTCGCCGCTGGCGCGCTCGCCTGCGGCCGCTGACAAAAAGTAGTCGAGATTCGGGCTCATGGGTCCTTTGCGAAGGGGGTCTCGAACATGTGCGCAGTAGTTCGTGCAATCGTTCGTGCGGGATACGCACGTCGTACAAGATCAGCACGCGACTGCCACGCGCCACGCGCCACAGGATGAACTGCAGTCGAAACCGATGGTAAGGATGGGTCACCTTCCCAAGGGCACCCTTGCATCCTTGCCTCTTCGGTCCATCCTTAACCATTTCGATGGCCGACCCCACCCGAAAAGCCTCGACATGGGCGTCCAAGGGGCTTGCATCCTTATCGCGCATCAGTACTATCAGTTTTGACTGGATTCCCCAACCGTCCTGTGGTGTTGGGTCCTCGTTTCGAAGAGACAGCGACCCGCGTCACTCACTCCTCCTCCTCCTCCCCCTCCTCCTCCTCCTCCTCCTCCTCCTCCTCCTCCTCCTCCTCCTCATCCTCATCCTCCTCCTCCTCCTCCTCCTCCTCCTCCTCCTCCTCCTCCCCCTCCATCCTCCCATCCCTTGCCTCTGCCTTCCGCGTGCCCTCATCGTCGCCATATGGGTGCATGCAGTTCCCCTTACATGTCGGCCCACCCCTCACACGCTTCGTGGCCCCATACGGAGCCCCGCCGAAGGCCCTTGTGGGAAAGTTCGCATGCAGCTCCACCCTCCATGTTGGCGCACCCTTCACACGGCTCGTGGCCCCCTAGGGAACCCCGCCGAAGGCCCCAGTGGGAAAGTCTGCATGCAGTTCCACCCCCCATTTCGGCGCACCCCTCACACGGTTCGTGGCCCCATATGGCCCCATTGGAAGTTCCACCGAAGGCCCCAGTGGGAAAGTTCACACGCAGTTCCACCCCCCATTTCGGCGCACCTCTCACACGGTTCGTGGCCGCATAAGCGGGGCTCCACCGAAGGCCCCAGTGGGAAGTTTGCATGCAGTTTCACCCCCCATTTTGGCGCACGCCTCGCACGGTTCGTGGCCTCATAGGGAGCTCCACCGAAGGCCCCAGTGGGAAAGTTAACATGCAGTTCCATTTCAACGTGTTGGCGCACCCTTCACACGGCTCCTGGCCCCATATGGCCCTCACACGTGCCGTGGCCCCATAAGGGTCCCAATCTAAAGTCCCAGCGGCGCAGCCCGCATAGCGCCGTCGCTTTATTTTGGCACACCCCTCACACGTTTCGTGGCCCCTCACACGTTTTGGAGACCACCTCTCGGTCTCGTGGACTCTCGCCCCGGGCCGTCGGCTGTCCGGCGCGCTGCTCTTTCGGCCGACGTCGCCCAGGCGTGATCCTGGACTGCGGCCGCCTCGAGGTGGGGAACGGCAAGAAGGAGGACGACGACTGGCGGCTGGAGTTCTACGCGCTGCTCTCGCGCGCCACGCGCCACGAGGACCTCCTGCTCAGGCGGGTGCCACCCATCGAGTTCTTCCTGGCACGGCCGCCGGAGGGATTGCGGAAACAGCTGGGGCAGTTTGCTACGCGCACGAAGCGGCGCAGGAGGGAGGCGACGGCCCTCGCCGGGGAGCTGGGCTTCACCGAGTTTATCCGCGAGGCTTGATTTGAAAAGCGACCCGCCCGAGCCTCGCCGTCTCTCGACGGTCTGACTGTTTGGCTTCGCGCCGCGGGCAACCCGGCAACCCGCGCGCGTCGCCGGGGCCTTCTCGGGGCGACCCGCGCGCGTCGCGGGAATTCCGCGCTGCGTTCTGCCCAGAGCCTCGCTCGCCCCCGTCGTTTCTCTGCCCAGCGGCCACAGTCTTGCCCGCCATCAGCCGGCCAGCTAGCTCTCTCTGCTCCGCGCAGCGGACGACCCGTGCGCGTCGCCGGGACTCCTTCGGAGCGACGGGCGCGCGTCGCGGGGATTCCGCGCGGCGCCGCGCCCACGGCTTCGGATATGGGCGCGCGCGGGCAAAGAGAGAGAGAGAGAGAGACAGAGAGAGAGAGAGAGAGAGAAACAAAAACAAAACAAATAAAGAAAGAGAGAGAGAGAGAGAGGAGAGAGAGAGAGAGAGAGAGAGAGAGAGAGAGAAACAAAAACAAAAAAAACGGGAAGGAAGCGGGCGCGATTCTCGGGAGGGGCGCGCCGACATGGGCGTCGACATTAGTGCGCGTCGACTGATTCGCGCGCAGAATAATTCAAAGTCAGAGTCACTCGCGCTCAGTCTCTCGCACGCAGACCTATCGTCTTCGCTCGCTTTGTGTGCCCCGCCACGCATTTCGGCGCGCCCCTCGCCCGGTTCGTGGTCCCATGGGGGGCGCGGGCAAAGATGGGATTCATAATTGCGGTGTTCACAAGTGCGCATGGTTGGGTCTTTGGCCAGGATAGTTGTTGTAACCGTCTCTGAGTGGTGAGGGGGGTGTTTCCGTCAGTTTTGCGACCCCCCCTTCATTTTTCTTGGTGAGTCCACGTCGTTGGTTTGACGGTTCGTGGTTTTGATAATTCATGATTGCCCCGTGATGATGTCCTCGCCAAAAATTGTAGATCGCCTTCCAGGGCGATCTGAAGATTTGCCATGGCATCTAAAAGTTGCGATTTCGCATGGGAGTTCCTTTGGACCAATGTCAGACCAATCTTCATGCCGGTGAATTCCTCACTGAGTATTTCCCGGCCACTGTTCACACCGCCAGAGGGTGGCGATTTCGTTTGGGCGGGCTTTCCTAGCAACCGCGCGTCTCGTCCACCCCTGCGGCGCCGTTCTTCCGTTCCGGCCACGAGCCGGTCTTGGAGCCATCCTGGGATCCATCAGAGATCGAAATCTGAGGTCTTATCGATCGGCGAAGACCCAGGGGCCGTTCCTTCGCGTTGTGCCGACCACCGCTTCTTTACCCTGAGGTTGGTAGGGGGCACGGGGTGCCTTCGACCAGTTCGAATGGCCTTAGGTCGGGCGTGTCCCCCTACAGGGGGAGCTTCGAGAACAAATAAAACATGCCCCCAAAAATACCCCCCAAAAGGTAACAAAACAAACATTCGAAACATAGTTCCCAAACTATTTTTGGATTATTTTTATCGTTATTTTTCGTTATTTGTTGTGTATTTTCTGTTTCAGGCCCGACTGAAGAATAACCCCCCCCCGCCGCGCCGAACTGTCAGCCCTCGGGCCCGCCCCTGGCCTCCCAGGCGGCCCCGGGGCCCGCCCGAGTGGTCAGTCCTCCGTGGGCCGAGCCCCTCGGCCCGCGCATTTCTGAGGGCCACGGGGCGCGGGCGAGCTTCTGTTGTTGCAGCCGTCTCCAAGAAGCTGTTGTCTGATGTCGGGCGTGTTCCCCTACAGGGGGATTTTCGACGTATCTCTCTCTCTCTCTCTCTCTCTCTCTCTCTCTCTCTCTCTCTCTATATATATATATATATATATATATATATATATATATTCCTCTTCCTATATTTTTACAAGCCCGGGCGGCCGCAAAACCCCGCACCCCCCCCCCCCCCCAAACCGGACTCCAGGGATCCTGGGGCTTTGGGACCCTCCCGGAAGCGGTCCCGAGTGCCTCAAGAGCGCTCCAAGACAGGCACAAAGCGCTCCAAGACGCCAAAGATAGCCCCAAGACAGCCTCAGGAGCCCCCAAGAGCCCCAAGCCCCAGCCTCCCAAGACGGCCCCGGGAGGCCGAAATGGTCAATGTGTTTTTCGATGTTTTCTGCTTTCTCGCCATTTTAGCTTTCCGACGCTCCAAGACAGAACTAGAGGCCCTCAAGAGCGCCCCAAGATGGCCCGGGGGGCCCCCAAAACGGCCCCAACACGGCCCCAAGACGGCTCTGGAGCGCCCCGAAACAGCCCAAGAGGCGCCCAAGAAGGCCCAAGAGGGCCCCGAGAAAGCTTCAAACGAGCCCCCACAGGGCGATCAAAAGTTCAAACATCTAACTTTCCGCCCCAAGTGGGCCCCAGGAGGCCCCAGGAGGGCCCCAAGAGGCCCCAAGAGGCTTCCAAAGGCCCCGAGGACTCCCAAAAAGAACCCACGAGGCCCCAAAATGGCTCTCCAAAAGGCAGCCAAAACGGCCCCCCAAGAGGCTTCAAAACTGCTCAATCGCCCCACTTGACCGCCACCTCCGGAACGGCTTCGCTGCGCTGCTCCGTTGTTTGCCAGACAGTGGCATCCCACGCAAAACACCAAAATGCTTGAAATCCCGGGTTCGCAACCAAATTCCCGGGAAATCGGCTGCGAACCCGGGATTCGGCACATTTCCCCGGAATTCGGTAGATGTCCTTAGCATTTCCAGGATCCGGTACGTTGCCTGCATGCTTGCTGCCCTATGCCCTATCGCATCCCAGAATAATCGTTCCATGGAGGTTTCACGAGGGCCCTTCCAAGTTATTAAGGAAACATTGTTTTCCACACGTGTTCGCACACATGCATCCGTAGCCGTTGGCTTACATTTTTAAGCTGTCGCATACGGCACATCCTCGATGTCTGTATTCGCTTGCTCCGATTGTGGCGAGACCCTGCCTGCAGAATCATTCTCTCCAACACAACTTCAGCAGTCCAATCGGGCTTGCAAGTCGTGTGCCAGTCGACGGGAAACACAGTCACGGTCAGCCCCCCAACACAAAGACTATCAATGCACTCGTTGCGGGGACATGCACGATCGAACTCACTTCAGCCCTTGCCAGCTGCACCGATCCACTCGGACGTGCAAGGCGTGCGCCACTGACGGCCGTCCGAAGCAAGACCTCTTCTCCTGCACGCGCTGCGGAGAGCTCTGGGACAGGGCCCACTTCGACGCGAGGCACCTCAAAGCACGCAGCACTACGCGGGTTTGCAATTCCTGCAATGCGTGCCTTACCTTACCTTACCTCATGATATTCCTCCCTTCGCCGCGCCTCCCCAAATCGTCCTCCACTTCTTTCCCGCCCCTTCTGTCCGACGTTTTGTCTTTCCGGAGCCTCCACGGCCGCTCTCATCGCCGCTGATCGGTCCGCTGGGACATTCTCATGGAGTCCCAGTGGCGCGCGGACCAGCAGAGCGAGGGCGCGAGCAAGTAAGGTGCAGGTCCGGGAACTGGGCGCGAACCGGCCGCGGTTCAAAGACCGTGGAGGGCCGCGCTAGACGCCAACGCGCGCAAGGGTTGAAGGACCAAGGTGCATGGCGCGAAGCGCCAATGCAGTCTTGTATCTATATATATATATATATATATATATATATATATATATTAAAAAATGCCCCAAAAGGGTTTTAGAATACTGACAACAAATAGTCCCCAGACTATTTTTGAAGCATTTTTGGATTATTTTTGGGGCATGTTTTATTTTTCGTCGAAAATCCCCCTGTAGGGGGACAGGCCCGACTTGACTGTTGTCTGAATCGCTTACGTCCAATAGAGATCTCATGACAACCCATGAGGTGGGTCGTTTTTTTGGGTCTCGGCAGTGTGCCCGGAGGTTGTTCGGAGAATTGGCAGTCGTGTTGACAGAGAGGGTGGAAGCGGATCGCCTGTGTATATTTCGGGGTTCCTGTCAAGCACCCACTTGTATGTAGTTTCAAACGGGTTCTACCCGGCCGCAGTTGGAATTTCAAGGAAGCCCAGCAGCCCGAGGTCACTTGGCAGTTAAGTCCGTCTGGGTCTTCAGAATGCTACGGTTCTTTCGACCGGAGGTTCCCGAGCATCTCAAGACATGTGAGCCTCATAATAAATGCAGAAGAGCAAGAGTTAGCACGAGCGGTAAGTGTGCCATGTATTCGGGCTGTCTTCATTCAGAACATGACAGGAGTCTTCCCCAGACAAGAGATGGTTACATAGATGACATTGGGGGAACGCTCGATTGGCCAGTTTGTATCGGAAGTTAGAGGTGCTTTCCGTGATATGTTCCCCCTGCTCCTGACAGGACGCGCGCGAAGAGGCAGCCGACAGAGCTCTGGCAAAGGCCAAGGGCGATGCCAGGAAGCGCAAGGCACAAAGCCCGGCGAAGCGGAAGGACTTCGAAGCGCGGGGTCGTCCGTTGGGTTTCGGTCGACTGGGGGAAATATTCCCTATGCTTGCGGTGTCGAGCATGATCGAGCAACTCATGTGATCTCCCTGGGGCGGCTGGGTTGTGGGTGGTTCAGCCTGTGCTCGAATACAATATAGTTTGCGCGTCTTGCTTGCCGTCGACAGATTGTTGATCCAACGTCGCGGACGCAAAAAGTGTGCGCGTGTGTGCGAGGCGTCTTTTCTGTTCCGGCTCAGCGCTTCGCGACAGTGCTGCCACCTCGCCGTTGGAGAAAAGATGCGACGCGTTTCGCTTCAGCCGCCCGCCGGCTCCCGAATCACCGCCGCACGAGTCCTTCGAGGCCCGCTCGGACCCCGTTCACTGATCCTTGCATGGTTGGCTGCGCACGACTTCTGACATGGGTGTACGGCTCGTCTCCGGAGCCTGACCCCAGGCAGACCCCGCCAGAGCCTTATGCTTCTGGACGTCGGTTACAGGAGGGGAAGCATGCTGCCAAATAATCTCGAGACGCCTGAAAGATGCTTCAGACATGCTTGAAATTTGGAAAAACAGCATGTTTGAGACATGCTTAGAACATGCTCTGCACATGTTGGACACATCTCTCTGGTTCAGTGATGGGATTGTTGGAGTGTCCATTGTCGTGGCGTCCACAGGCCTTCCGCCATGAGCGTGCTCCCGCCGCCCACGGCCTCCCTCTCCCCTCCCCCCCCCCCGCCGCCGCCCCGCCCTGCCGTGCCCGGCTCGCCCGCCGACGTGGCCCGGTGCTTGTGTGTTTGAGCGCGACGGGCCTCCCCTCGGCCTCGTTCTGAGGCTCCGCCGCTTCCTCCCCCCTCTTCTCGGCCTAGTTCGTCGTGGCCACCTTCGTCGTCGATGGGCGGAGGCCTCCCCTCGGGCAGCCGCCCCTCCGCGCTGGGCACAACTCCGTCGCCCCGATCGCCTTGGAGTTTTCAAGTGTTTTCAAAGGTTAAGAGTTTTTCGAAGTTTCCCCTCTCCCTCCCCGCTCCCTGGTTGATTAAGCTTCGCGCGGCCCGCTTAGCTTCGACCGGAGGAGGTGCGCTCTCGACCCGCGGATCAAAAAAAAAGTGTCTGAGCGCGACGGGCGCGCTGCGAGGCCGCCCGCGGGCCGGGGATGGCAGGCGACGCCCACCGGGGCTCCCACATCGTTCGCAGGCCCAGAGGTTGACACCAACACCAAGATCGGCGGCGTGCCTCCACCGAGGGGAGGCGATCCCGATCTTGGCGATGGTGGTAATATTCTGGCTTCCAAGGTGACCGAAGTATTACCACCAGCACCGAAATCTAGGATCATCTTCCCCATGTGGAGGCAACCCCCTGTGCTGGTGTTGGTGCCAATTTCCAGGCCTCCAAATCGTGGAGGAAGATCCGTGGAAAGGAAGCATGCTGCCAAATAACTCCCAAATGTCAGCCATGCTGGAAAAATGTCTGAAGCATGTTAAAAGCACATGTCTGAAACATTTTGAGGACATGCTCGACACGGTTCGAACACATCTTCAACCCAATGTTAGGACTGTTGGAGTGGCATCCACCAGGTTGACAACCCTTTGCCCACGCTCCCACGCAAGGCGAGCCACTGTTCTTGGAGCGTGCCCCGCCCTTGTAGTTCGTGGGCCGTCGACTGCACCTCATCGGCGCGCTGAAGGCAGAAGTGTGGATCGGCGTAGGTAGCACCAGTCACGTGTTCAAGCGCTTGAGCCAACGCAGATTTGTCGCCGCGCCTCCGGCTTGAGCACCAGGCGCGAACTCCAGGAAGCGACCAGTATGTTCGAATTGAGTTTTGGCGAAGCCCAGAGATCGCCACCCGAATCTGGCCGCGGTTCGCATTGGCTACCGTGGACCGCGGTGGCGATGCGTCTCGAAGCAATGGCCATTTGGGCTTTCAAGAAGAACACGGCAACCTCCCGTAGCAGCGTTAATCATGTCTTCACCCGTCCTCCTCATGCCCATCCTCTTGCTCTCCTCCCTCTCCTTCGCCGTCTTCTCTTCTTTTGTTTGTTTGTTTTTTTGTTCTCTATCTCTCTCTCTCTCTCTCTCCTCTTCCGCTTTCTCTTCCAGGTGGCTCGAGTTGTTTCACCCGAGCCACCGCACGCGACAACGAACGACGACATTCACGTTGACCAAGCAGGCTCTCGTGTCGTTGGGCCCTCGGCGGCAGTGTCTGCCGAAATGACCCCACGACATCTGAAGGATTCTTCGGACATTGAACCCGAGCGTAGCGAGGACGCACGAACGACTATTCGACATGTAGGAAGTTGCAGGGCGGTATACGGGTTCATCTTGCGGGAAATTGCCCTTGCGATGTTGCCTCTATTTTGCTCTTGCTTCGTAGGTGTCTACGTGCGCCCTTCGGCATGAAGACAGTTACACCGCATCGATCACACAAGGAGCCGTTCTAAGCGATGCAGGCTATACGTGACCAGCTACGTACGCGTGTTGGTTGTGTCAAGGCGATCAGTTCTCCTGTCGTTCATTTTGCGATCCTCTTCCGCCTCTTTCTGGTGGGTGGTGGCCGCCGATTGGGCCAGACCAGGGAGACCCGTGCCATCTGGGCGCCTCAGGGTGGCCCAGGGGCGTTTGGGCCTGGATTATTCGGGTGGCGGTGGCGCTGGGTCAGGGCCGCACAGGTGAGCGCCTGGGGCGGGCTTACGTTTGTTTTGAAACTCAGCTCCTCCAGGAGCAGCTCTCTGCGGGAGATGTGGGCAGCTATAGATCAGAACGAGAGGATGCCGAAAGGGTGCTTCCCAGTCCCAACTGCGTGTGGCGATGTTTGGGGGGCGTCTGAGTTCCTCACGAGGGACCCCCAAGCTGCCGCCTCGATTCTGAGCTGGTGCCCTTGCTTCTCCTTCCATTGCAGTCATGTCTCGATTTAAGTCGGGCCTGTCCCTCTACTGGGGAAATACTCAAAAATAGTCAAACATAGTCTGGGGACTATTTTTGGAGTATTTGTTGACCATTTGGGAGCATTTGTTGAGTATTTTTTATTTTTCGTCGAAAATCCCCCTGTAGGGGGACGCGCCCGACTTAAGTTTAGATCGGTTCGGACACGACCGATCGACAGCACCCGCCCGAGGACTCTTCGTCGTCGAGCTCAGGCGGGTCTTCGTCGTCATCCAGGCGTCGGCGCTTCGGGGGTTAGCGGCAGCAGCGGGCGCAGCAGTACCATACTTATCGGGAGGACACAGACACAAGTAATCGTCGATTCCCCCGAAAATATAGGAAAATATGGGAAGTGGGGGGGAAGACAAAAGCCCAGACAATACAGGAAAATATGGGGAATCCTGTTATTTGTGTGTATTTATTTGTGTGTCCCAGGGCCCCTTCAACTTAGAACCACTGGCACGCGAGTCATTGCTAACAAACGCAGGCCAGTGACAATAGCAGTTGCTGTTGCAGTGGCGATTGTCGTGGCAGCCGTGGCCATGGCAGGGGCAGCGCCAACAGGGTCAAGATTAGACTCAGCAGTAGCAGGGGCACTCTGGAGGAAGTGATCTCCAGCGTCGCAAAGCAATCGTGGCAACGAGTGAAACGGCAGTGATGGTTCGAAGTGCAGAAAGAGGTGCCACTAGGAGGCCCTTCCAAGACTTCCATGGCCCCATGGGCTTTCCCACAGGCCTGGTGCCAGTCGTTTGACGACCCGGGCCTCCTGGCGGGCGCCTGCTTAAAAAAACGTTCACGAATTCCGCAGAGATCCAGACACTTCTCGACCGAGCGCTACGAGAGAGCTGCGGCGTCGGGCCCCGAGGAGGGGAGGAGGAGGCTCCGGAGGAGAAGGAGGAGGAGGAGGAGCTCTCTGGGACCCTCGCGCCCTCCGCGCGCGGCGCGGGCCAGCCCGCACCCGGACGAGCCGCCCAGGCCCTCGAGCGAGCCCCTGGGACGCGACGCTTGGCCCTGGGGAGGGGGGGAGGATGCACTTCGTCGCAGCCATCTTCCTCCTCCACCTCCTCCTCCTCCTCCTCCTCTTCCTCCTCCTCCTCCTCCTCCTCCTCCTCCTCCTCCTCCCCTCCTCTCTCCTCCTCCTCCTCCTCCTCCTCCTCCTCCTCCTCCTCCTCCTCCTCCTGCTCCTCCTCCTCCTCCTGGCCCTGGCCCCGGCCCGGCCAACAGAACTGGCCAGGCCAGGCCGGGCCAGCTCCCACTGAGGAGGAAGGGAGTACGTGCCTCGCCCGTCGCTCTGCGGGATGCGCTTCGTCGCAGCGCCGTCTTGGCGCGAGGGGCGTGGACATTTTTGTTTCCCCCGGCCGCCGGAGGGCCGCGAAGAAACGCGCCGCCCGCCGCGGCTCTGCCGTGGCCGCGCGGGGCGCCGGGAGCCGCCGGCGGAGGGGCGGGCGGCGAGGCCGGGCGGGCAGGCTTCGGAGGAGGGCAAGCTGAGGCACCGCCGGTTGGCCTTCGGGGGGCCCCCCCGCCGCCGCGGCCGGCGCCGCTCGGGAAGCCGGTGCGCCTGGGACCCCCGGGAGGGGTCCGGGAGCCGATCGCGAGCTGCCGTCTGCCTCAGCTCGCCTTCCGAGTGCTTTCGATGTGTGGCGATCCGCGCGCCACCGGGCAGGAGCCACGTCGCGCCTTCCGGTTTCGGCCTCGGTTCGATTCGGCCGTGGATTCCGGCTCTGGTTCGGACTTCCCCGCGCATGCCTCGGCGTGGGCCGGCGGACGTCGACTCCGCTGCTTTCTGGCCTGCTTGCTGCTTTCTGCCGACTCGATGCGTTTCGATGGCCGACTCGATTTTCCGATCCGATTTCGGGATGCTCTGCCAGGCAGCGGCCCTTTTAGTGTGGATTGGTGGCTGGGCCGTATCACCCCACTCCCAGACCCCCAACGTCATGATTTTTTCGTGACGTCGACCCCCCGAGGTCTCGACCCATTCCCCGGGACCGGTTTTTCGTCCTGAGTCGTTTTTTGACGGTCCCGAGGGCCGGTAAGGGCTCCCAAAGGCCAGAAATAGTGAAAAACCTCCCGTCGTGATTTTTTCATAACTCGAGGGGTCTGGGCCCCACTCTGTGCCCGGGGCCCTCCACGTGCAGTTCCCTGGCGCCTGTCGAGCGGAGCGGCGCCGATTGCTGATCTGCGCTGCTGTCGGTCCAATGCCACCAGCGGGAAGAACACGAAGCCTCGGCCTCGCGCAGGGGGGGCCAGGGCGAGGAGGGAAAAAGATACGGATACGTGTTGTCCCCCTCGTTGTCACCGCTGGATTCGCCTCGAAATTCTGGTCAGAACGCACCCCAAGAGAGGTCCGGGGACAACACGTATCCGTATCTTTCCGCCCCCCAAGCTAGGGCGAGGGGGGAGGGCTTCTCAGAAGTACCCCTGCTTCATGGAAGGCGCGGGCCTTGTCTGTAGATGTAAGGCCGGCGCCTT